GCTACTCAAATTTACAAGGGACCAAGATACTCATTTTTGAATATATTATTATATATTTCAGGTTTAGAACTCTTCGATATAACGAAAAACTGAGTTTCTATTTCTGTTTGCAGCAGCTTAAAGCATTATAAAATAGGTACACCAATAACCCATTTATATTTTTTTACTCTATTTTAAACAAATAAATTTTAATTTTAATCTTACCAAATGAAGTCAAACAATGTTCTTCGATACCAGAAACCTATAGTAGGATCGTATTCGATGCAAAGTAAAGCAAAAAATTGTCGGTCTTTTAGCAAAGGAAAATTGTGTCATCATTTTTAGGACGCGTAACATGAACCATTTCAAATTTAATATGTAAAATCTGAAATACCGCTTTATACGCACTGTGTTCTGGTAGTAGCAGTAGTCGTCCAGGTGCATCGAGTGTACGAAGTGGTCAAATACTAACCTGGCGAGCTTGATTGTAAATCAGAGACCGTTTGGGTTAGGTTTATAATAAGTTATATTTAAAATAAATAGATTATGAGAATAAATGGATTTTGGCAGGAGCAGAGGTGACAGACGTGAACTCATTCCTTCATAACTTCATAATGCATAACGAAATGTTTCAATTTCTAAACCCCTTAAAACCGTATTGCACTGGATCCCTTAACAGGCAACGATATATTACTTTGCATCGAATATGATCCTACTATAGGTACATATGTAAAGGATATCTAAACCCACAGACAAGACTCCCAACTGCTGACATTGCGGGAAAAAACTGACCTATGGTCTATATGCCTCAACTAGTATTAAATTATACCATGGCAATAGTAAATAGCTAGTATTTTCTATAATAAAAATTAAAAATGATATGTAAATATAACCAATACAAAAACACATAAATAAATAAATAAATAATAAATAAATAAATAAAATAAATAAATAGATACATTGAAATTGTTAAAAAATGCAATCATTCAAAGAAATATCCTGTATTCTTGATGTCCTATTATTACCCTTGACAAAGGTTAATCACATAAAAAAGGTTACTATATGAAGAGATCTTTTTGTTTCTTCATTTTACTTGAGGCTGTTTCATCAGGAAGCACTCCTCGTATAAAAATTAATAGAAAAGAAAAATATATAAGCATAATTTTCTTCGACAGTAGAAATCTAGGTATGGAAAAGATATCTAGCCCCACAGACATCACTATATGACCCAATCAGTATTGAAATACACTACAACAATAGTAAATTAGTTTAATACTTTTAAAATAGTGTAAAAAAAGTGCCAGAGCTAGTAATAAAATATACATATCTTAAAAAAAATAATTAATATATCGACACCGTTCTAAATAATTTTTAGTTTCTGCATTTCTGTACTGACAAGTCGTTTGCCAATAAATTTTTATGATAATGGCAATGATTATGACTACATCTTTATTTAAAGTAACTGTATATTCCAACAATAATTTTTTATACTCTTATTATGGACGCCAATTCATCTAGGAAATCGATATTTCTTCTGCTGTCGCAATGCAATATGGAAAACAATAGAGAACACAATAAAATGTGTCTGCTCTATTGATTTTCACTCAGAAGTTCGTGATAATGTGAATCATTTTTTTGCCTTTTTGTGTCAAAATGCACACTTGCCATTAGACGTAATTAACTAATAATTTCAAAATTAATACATAAGTACAATTTGTTGGTGATATACAAGGTGTCTCATAATTAGGGTCCAATAATTTACCACTTGATTCTATTGCCAAAAATAAGAATATGTTTTCATATAAACATTGGTCGAGAAATGCTTCCTAAGAGGGCTACGCCCCAATAAATTTTTCTGAAATAGGTTGAAGGAAATTTATATGAATTTTGACATCATGAACGCTTATTAGAACACTCATTAAAAGTCGAAATAGATCACCATACAATTTTTCAAAAATTGGGAGGGTTGTCAGATAAAATTTTCACCAATTTTTTTGCTTGTCGAAATTTTTAAATTCAGAGGCCAACATAATGATAGACCGTCATTTCCTCTACAAGAAAGGTACTCTTTATTTCTTTCGATAAAATGCTCCATTCCCAAGAAAAACGGATTTAACTGCTTAGAAACGCACACTTTGGGAAGTGTTATAACATATTTTCTCGAAAACGGATTACTTTTTCGATATAAAACAACATTAGCATTTTTAATAAAAAAACTCAGATATATCAAATTTTACTATTTTTGAAAAACTGCAACATGTAAAAAATTTTACCTGAGAACCAACGCCCCTTCCCCCCTTGCTTGGGACGCCCATAACAAACTTTTCTAAGAACTTTTCACGTTGTTTATCACAATGTATATTGATATGATGACATAACAAAATTGATAATGTTCCTATTTTAGCTATTCAAGAAAAATTTTTTTTAGTTTTATTAATGTAGGTATGTAATGAAATGTTTAGATTCGTTTTTCTCGGAAATGAGCGTTTTATCGAAGGAACTGAAGAGTACCTTTTTTGTAGAGGAAATGAGGGTCTATCATAATATGTTGGCATCGCAACCCATTTCGGAAATATTAAAAAAAAAACATATTTTTTGAGGCCCCATTTAGGGGGGCGTAGCTCCCTTAGGAAGCATTTCTCGACCCATGTTTATATGAAAAAATATTCTTATTTTTGACAATAGAATCAAGTAGTAAATTATTTTATACTAATTATGAGACACTCTGTATACTGCAAATAGATAAAATGTAAAGACGGTTTGAATTACATTCTTCCTTAACGCTTGTAGCTTAATTATTAGTGAAGTTAATCTTTGTTTCGTTTACTTTTTCAGCAAAATTTTTTCTTATTTAGATTTCTTTGCCTATTTCTTTTAATATCCAATTTTATTATCTATAATCTTTATGTATTTAGTAAATTTTAAGATTTATGTATATCAATTTTTTGGTGTTAACTTATAGACTTTAACCGTCAGTAATACACCACAGAACTACTTCTTTCAAATTTCACAATTAACATGATAATATTCCGCTATATTTCATTTTCTTCGATTTTGACAAACAATACTGTAATCATTATTATCGAAGACATCTTTGGCTTATTCTGTTTTGCTAATGCCAACGAACAATTCCACTTTATTTTTCATAGCTATAACGCAAACGAATTAAAATCGGAACCCTTTCAATGTTGTACAATTAATGTCTACACAAAACAGCAATTAGATCTAGACGGAATTCGTAGAATCATATATAGTGTATCTGAGATAACACATTGATATGTAACATACAGGGTAGTCAAAAATTAATACTGAATTTTTGATTACCTTGTAGAAGAGTGGAAGAGTAGTAAAATTTTGAAGGTCATTTGTGAGTTGACGCCTTGTAATATTGTCGCATGCTTGCCAGTGGCACTGCAACTGACCTATGTCCAAGTACACCTCACTGGTAAGATATCAACTTGTTTTGTGGCCCACTGGAAACCGATCACAACTGTCCAAGAACGAGTTATGTAAAGAGTTAAAAAAAATCGCTTCAATTTCAGTTTGAAAAAGCACATTAGAAAGCAAAATACAATGTAATAAATCCAGTTTAAGAATTTTTCTTACATGTTTTTAAATATTAATTAATATTTTTTCATCCCAAATAAATCGTATTTACCAATATCTAAACGATTTACGGAATATCCGGGTATGTTGCCCAATCATAAATTATTCTGACTCATTTTAAGTCTTTCCTTTGATGACATTTTATAAATAGATAACAAAAATAATAAGGAATACGTTAGGTTACGGAAAACGCCAGAACCACATCTCTTTTCAGCCACTTAAGACCTACATTTACTCGTTTTTGGACGTTTGTACTTTTACAATAGACAGTTTTGCTTGCTGTTGCTATATATGTTTCTGAACCTTTATTGGTAGATGTTTGACGTTCGTTGGTAGAAATGGTACGTAGACCTTTTATTGCATATTCTTAGCCGATATTCTTTTGTACATTTAGAATAGTGTAGATTTATCTTACTTATACTTTTCATTTCCCTGTTGAAAGACTTGATCAGTATACGTCAAAAATTGGATCTGCCTCTGGGTTAGATCTGGGTGTGCAACTAATAATAATATTATTAGTCGCTGTGGAATCGAGAATAGTAAATTATCTACTTTATCACTAGAGAAAAAGTCAGAACTGTCTTTATAAAAGCAAAAACTGAATTTTGCTGAAGAAATGATTAATTATATAATTATTAGAATTGATACATCTCACAATTTTTAGCTTTTCTGTCTTGTATGTCAATACAATGTTAAAAATGATTTCTCAATACATTCTATGAAAAACTAGAGAAATAATTGAAAGGAACATCATACTGATCTTGTTTTGTTATTATCTATCCTGTTGAGTAAGATCTATATTTTAATCATGTGCACAAAATTAGTTTTAAAGTGTCCCCTCTTCTTATAAAGATATTGCAACTTAGTATCACCCTCTTCAGTCATTGAACAATCATCTTGGTCATCATCACGCTAGGTTATGGTAAAATCATCAAGGATATATCATCCCATTTTATTTCATGTTACCGAATATGTTTCATTGGACTGTTTCATATGAAGTAGCTGCTAAATAAAAGTGAAGAGAACATGATTAGAATAGAATAAAAGATGTTATTGTAGGATTTATAATTATTTTTTCTTCAAATACTGTTGTTCAAGGGGAAGCTTTTTGTTATTTCTTTAAACAGAACATGAACTGTTTCAGATAGACTAACCTTAAGTTCTTATACTTTAAAGAATTTTACATTGACTCAAATTTTATTTGTTGAATTGAGAAAAATTAAAACCAGTGATTATTAGACACATTTATAAGCAATTGGTTCTAGAGAAATATTTACATGATAATAGGGAACATCTCTCGTTGAGCATGCGATGTTTCCAGTATAAAAATGTTCGTTCTGTTTAAACCAAAACACCTTTGATGACGTATTTGAATATTGCACCAACAACTGAGGCAAATGTTTTACTATTTTCAGGGCTCTGCTGATTCTAACTACTCTCAGCCTTCTTCGGATCTGTCGCTCGACGAGGAAAAAGAGACCCTTCGACGGGAGAAGGAACGGCAAGCACTTAGTCAGTTGGAAAAAGCAAGGGTAAATATGTATATACATTTATTAATTTCTGAGTGCATAGTCTAAGAATAACTCCTAATTATTCTCAGTTTCTTCGCTTATTGGTACGCTTTTGCTTCTACGACGACTTTCCTTCATTTTGCGCTTTCCAGGATTTTTCCTTCAACTTCTCTCAACGATCGTTTTAAAATTATCTCTTCTCCTTAATCTACCTATTCTTATTTCCTCACAGGGTTCCAGTTGTATGCGGTGGTGGTGTTTCCTTTTTCTTCATTCATCTGTTTATGTGTCTTAAACACACAGTTGTTTGAGACTTTACAAATTTAATTATGGCAGGTCCATTCATGAGTCTATTCAATATGTGCTTCTTCCTCTTTGATTGTCAAAATCCACACTCCATATTCATCAATTATCTATCCCTGGTCTTATTAGTGTCTTGACGTCAATAATTGTTCGCATAATAGAATCACTGGTTACCACTTACTATTTGAGCTCTCAGTACATATCTGCGTCTTTTGTTCTATAGAAAAATTCTTCCTAAACGTGATGTTTATAATATTATAGATTAACATATTTGGTGAACAAATTGAAGAAGTTTAATTACAAATTGTTCTACTGCTCTCGATTGAATAAATTCGTTGCTGTTTCCAAAAACATTTCGTTTGGAAAATATACATTGTTCCAGTATCAGTACAAATTTTCGCAGTTAATTATTAACCTCTTAAAATAAATTAAAGCTTTTCCAAATATTTTGACGGCACATTTTCAAGTTTTTATGTTTGTTCTAAATTTTAAAGTAAAAAGAAGCAACATAAATATTAATACTTGGAATTCCTTTTCTCGTAAATATACATACATATAGTTAAAAATAACAGTTACAACTGTTGAATTAAAAATCACTCAACGATAAAAGGAAATATAGAGATATGGCAGCCATTTAGGAGAACGTTAAAACAAGAATATAATGCAAATATTCTAAGAATGTCACATTACAGCAGAGGTTCTTATTGTTTAACTCTTGTGAATACTAATTTTATGTAGAAGTATTATGATATAAAAAGACTAGTCCCTAGGAATAGAAATATAAGGCCTTTTGAGTTCTTAAATATAACTATTTTTTGTAAAGATTTAAAGTCAGTATTTCTTTGGTTAAATTATAAACTAATTTTGGAATTTAATTTCCAGAATAACGTTTTCTACGTAATAAGGTTCAGTTCACGAAAATTTTTGTGAATGTAATTTTAAGCATTGCGTGTTTTTATCTAAAATCGTAGAAATAAATTTTACCTGTGTGTAGGTCTATAAATAGGCATTATTCACGCACGTTTTGGAACTAACATTGGTGCTGACGAAATTCTCCATTGTTTTGAATTCGTATAAATTCTATAATACTATTTGTAGACCCAGAATACATTTTTTAAGAATATCTAGAACGTGGAAGAAAAATATGTGTCGACTACAACTGCTGCTTCTTATAAGAACTAAGTAACTTGCGATAGACTTTTTTAGTAGTGATGTCACAGACGCCAAATAATAGGCAACCCTATAGCACATTGTCATGAAGAATTTCTCAATATTTTTACTAGAACGATTTTCAACCTTATGTACTTTAGACGTAAGTGCCAAAAAATGTCTTCTTTGTCATGACCGTAAATATCGCAATATTCTGGCAATATTAGGAATATTGAAGAAGTTTGCTGAAGTGACAAGCTAAAAGAATTATAGAATTAATAAATTAAAATGTTTGGTACTGGTTAAGAGCATACGTCTATAATAAACCACTTGAAGAAAAAATCATTCGATAAACACACTGACACAGCACAACATCAAGAAAAACAATTAAAATACTTAGTAGAACTGGAAAATACCAAGATTACACAAAAGAAGAGAAAATACGCTAATGATAACAGTGACGACATATCAACAAGATCTCACCTGCGTATGAGGCTATTCTTTCCGCGCATGCGCATTAGAAATAACACGGCTAATGTTAAATTTTTACTCTATTTAAATTTAGGAATATTCTTTTATATCGTTTTTTGTAAGTTTCAAGCACATTGGTGTATCTATTTTACCAAACACGTATTAGGTGTTCTTAAATACTTCTAAATCCTTATAAATCATTTGGAATTGTTCAGTTTTATAGTATCTATATAAATAGTACACAATGGTCAGATTCGGTCTGTACAATTTCAACTATGACAATTAGTAGCGGGTTGCCTAAATATGTGACATCTCACTAAAAGAGTCTATTGCAAAATGCAACAATTACTATGACTAAAGTACAAATTAAAAATTATTATTGAACATAGATTATTATGTGTAGATTGATTCAGGATTAATTTAATTTACCGTGAAAATGTTTTAAAAATTACATAATGATGCACTACTTTGTAGTTAAGAATACCTACCTTATTTTCCAGGCTGCAGATGTGGATATTTATTACTTGCCTAATTTCAAGTGAACATTCCGAAATAATAATCACTTCTAACAATAAGCAAGCTCATTTTATCTTTCAATGAACGTTAACATGTTTATTTTCGCGTTTGTTTGTATAATGAAACTCCTTCGAACTAAAGGTCAATAATCACGCCAAATTCCTTCTAAAATTAACTCATCAAAGCACAATTTAAAATCGACTAGTTTAATTCTTTTCGTCCATTCATTTGCGCTTTAATGTATTCGCAACATCGACATTATATTTAAAAAATGATCCACTTTCAGTTTAGAAGTATGATTTGTTGATTGCATTGCGTTGACATACTTAAGGCCTATTGAAATTGGAAACCGTAGAGAAAAATCAAGTTCCTTTTTAACCTTAGCTTAGGAATCTTTTACATCTCCGTGCTGTTCTCAGGCTAGGCTCTGTGGGGGCAGATGCGCTATTAGAAACTCTAGGCCTGCCCTGATGTTCATTTAGGTTCTTATTGGGTCCAAAGCCTCTTTCAGACCGCTCCCCAAGCAGTGGTGATCCTCTGTTCCATAGTGGTCCGTACAAATGGTCGCATCCAACGCTTCCAAACGTTTCGCCATTCTTCACTGTCAGAATCTTCAGTGATGACTCTACAAATATACAACCAACATCCCATAGTGTTAAGGGGCACTGGAAAATATAAATATCGCCTAACTGTATCGTTTTACTGATTTTCTGAAAATGATAGGATATCCCTCTTTAGATAAAATCTAACTATACATGAAATTATGATTCATAATCTTCAGCAGCTGTTGTACCTCCACCATTACAGTTATTTATATAGAATTATAAATTGATTTGAGAGTTTTCCTATCTTTTTGCTTTAAGTTCCGGGAGATATTTTCATCTCACGTTTGGTACACATAGAGTAAACGTATCTTGATGCTACTGTTTATATTCCACGTGTATAATGTTAGTGCTGCAGGTCCACAATATAAAAATAGATTTCAGTTGAAACTCGTGATCACTGACCCGATTTTATATCAAAAACTTAGTTACCGTTCTTGTAAAAATAAACTGGAATGCATATCAAGCGAGTGAACAAGGAACTATATAGAGATTGGTTTTGTTTTATTTTCTTAGCACGGTAGATTTAATTTAATATATAAAAATAGGCCACAATGCTTAGTTAAACAAAACAAAGGAAAATAAAAATAAAAAAACTTATTAATTTAATATTTGAAAATAATTAAGAATAAGTGCCTTATCAAAAAAAAAAAAAAACACTAATATAACATTCATATGTACTTTTTGATACCTAAGGTCATTACATACTGTTGACTGATAGACACATACTGTTGAATATCTTCAGAAATTTCTCTTGTTTCTTTCTCTCTAATTTTTGGTCAAAGGCCAATACGAAAGTCAGCCATAATACTTGAATCAATATATTTCTGCATTTTAAAGGCTCAAGAGACTTTTTAGAAGAATGAAATTAATAATTATTAAATTATATATAAAATACAAAACTTTTTGTGAAATCAAAAGTCAACCGTAAATCTCTTTTTTTACAGACAAAGCCGGTAGCATTTGCTGTACGAACAAACGTAGCTTATGACGGTTCTTTAGATGACGATTCACCTGTACACGGTTACGCTATTTCCTTTGAAGTTAGGGATTTTTTACATATAAAGGTAAGTATTTTAGATAATTCTCTATCTAATGTAAATGAGGTTGCATAAGATCATGTCTTTCGATACCTAAGAAACCAGTTTTAACTTAATAAATATTTTTTATAGGCGGAAAAACATATTTGGAGGGTGTAATTCACCCTCAAAGTTCGCCCCCAAAAGCAGTTTTATCTAAATATCAGGGATTTTGGAATGAAACAAAATGGAAATTATTTCTATAGAACAGAACGAATGATTCACAAGCAATCTCGTCTGTAGGGGTACATCCTTTATTTTTGCTGCGAAAAAGAATACTTTTTATTTGAAAATTATACTGAAACCATTATTTCATCAATTTTGATTAATTTCGAAAATATATTTAGTGAAGATTTACGAAAATAAGTATAATTTTACCATCTACAAAATGAGGGATGCAATCCTTATTGTTCAATCTTCCTATTTAGTAGAGACCATTTTCATTTTGCTTAATAAAAAAAAGTTTGATAGGGTCACTAGACGACAAGATGTATATAAAAATGTATTTTCGGTTATGAACAATTAAGATGGTTTTCACTCTTTAAAACAGTTTTTCCGCGGAAAGGAACAAGTGCCCAGTATTTATTTTTCTACTGTCTGTTTGTGAAGTATTAAAGTTTTATGCTCAAAACTCAATCCACCAATATTCTTTTTATTTTTGAATTCTTAATAAACATTTCTGTTAAATTTTAATAACCTTTCTTAAATCAGTATAAACAGAAAGTTTTGTATAAAAAAGTCCAAAATAAAGTGTCAAGGGTTGCAAACTTCTTTTAAAATGAACAAAGCTAATTGTATCGATAAATATCGTTGGTTTCATATTTATTTAAATCAATTTATTTAACTGTGATAATGTATATTCCTTTTTTCTCGTGTATAATATACTCGCATTCCTAATTTTAATTTTTGGAGAATATCGGATCGTGTACTTTTTAATTCTTTTTACGTATTTATTATATGCTTAAGTTTCACTGTTGTTGAATTGTGAATGAAATTAATGTATAAAATCAGATATTTTAACATGCTATATATATTGTTCGATAATTCAACTGACTTAAAATCAGTTTTATTAATATGCTGTTATAAATGTAATGACTCAAGTAAAACTATTTTCATACGATTCAGTCAAATTATCATTAGCGATTACATCCCCCGTTTTGTAGATGGTAAAATTATATTTATTTTTTATTTTCGTAAATTTTCACTAAGAATGTTTTGGAAATTAATCAAAATTGATGAAATAACTAATTTAGGATAATTTTCATAAATAAAAAAAAATAAAAAGTATTCTTTTTTTTTCAAGTTAAATAATAAAAGTTTGCTACTCCAACAGATAAGATTGCTTGTTAATCATTGATTCTGTTCAATAAATAAATTGCATTTTGTTTCATTCCAAAATATTGTTTAGAACCCGAAATATTACGAAAATACTGTTTTTGGGAGTGCACATGAGGGGTACTTTGCATCTCTTTAAATCCGTTTTAGGTCAATAGAAAAAAATATTCGTATGATTAGAGAAAAAGTAAAAACCTTATTTTAAAATATTAATTCTAATCATTCAGACATTTTCTGCACACTAGGGGGTTGTTCACCCCCCTAAAAAGGGTTTTAGCGAAAACCCCGAAACAGGTCAACTTAATTTTGTCAATTTATTCACATAAATTATATTTAAAATTTTTTTTGAGCAAAAATAAATTTTTTATGAATATAAAATGTTTGAAAAATATAGTTTTTCCGAATTAAAAAATAAGGGTTGCAAATCCCAAATACTGAATCACTTGTGAAACATTATTTGTTTTTTATAAAAAGTAATTTCTATTTGATTTCATTCCAAAATATTGATTAGAATCCCAGATATTTAGAAAAAACTGTTTTTGGGGTGGTCAAAATGTGTTTTTCCGTCAATAAAAAAATACGAGACTCTTAAGTTTTTATGTTCTACAACATATATAAAAATCATGGAAAACGGAGTGTTCGGGTTGGGGTAGTTTCCTTGTAACAGAAATTGAAATTTCTAGGCTAAATTAATAGGCAAAATATCTGACGAATTTAATATTATTCAAAGTTATTATTCTACTAGTAGTAAGAAGAACTACTAAATTTATAAGGTTTAAATACTCTCAGTTATTTAATAAATTATATACTTTCACTATGGTTGTCTGCGTGTAGATGGTTCTGATTTATGATATTTATTGAATAGAACACCAACAACAAGCTATTGTATAAAACACAAACAGCATTGTCGACATGCCATGCCTGGTACCTATATTTTTTCAGCGGACTGTTCTTTTGTGGCGGTAGGCCGGATTTTAATATCGGGGTCAATATTTTCGTGTAAGATTCTGCTTTCTGATAGTAATGCATCAATCTGATTAAAAGCTTTAATACACTGCAGCAATTTTTGCTGGCTATTCATGCGACGGCCAACATACGGAGTTAAAAGCTTTCTAGTTCCCTAAATATAACATATTTAAATGTAAATAATAATGAAATTCAGTTAATGGACTGGGAATATTTCAACAGAAGCGCTCTCTTATTAGTTTTCTGTTTCCCTAAAAACGTATTTTGCTGGGAAATATGCGGTAATTCTGTAAGAGAAATATGATTTTGATTTTATACAAGAGTATTTAATAATTTGGATAAATACGAGGTATGTTCAGAAAATAACAGAACTTTTTGAATTACGCGCTAAAGGAGGTATTTTGTGATGTGCGGTTGGCAGCACTGGAACAACGATGAACGTAATTTCACAGAAACATTACAACTTTTGCAACAAACTTACGGAAATGATGCTCTGGGTCGTACGCAATGTTACGATTGGTTTTCACGATTTAAAAGTGGTCGTCAGTCAATTATTGAAGATGATCCTCGACCAGGAATGCCTTTGACTTCAACTGATGACTACCACGTTCAGAAAGTCAAAGATGTGGTGCGTGCAAATCGCCGATTGACTGCCAGAGAAATTGCAGAAGAAGTTAGCATCTCAATTGGGTCATGCTATGAAATTTACACTGAAAACATTAATCGAGTTAAAGCAAAATTTGTTCATCATATTTGATGAGCTGGGAATCATCACAATGGATTCGCAAAGAATCTCCACGCCCCAAGAAAGCAAGTTAGTCTCAATCCAATGCCAAAGTAATGCTCACTGTTTTTTCCGACTTTAATGGAATTGTGCATTTGAGTTTAAAGGCAATTTCAAATGAGCTATCCAGGACTGCTTTGAGAAGTGGAAAAACCGCTGGGAAAAATATATGAATAGGGAAGAGGAGAAGACACGTTCCAATAACGTATGAAATTAATAATAAAGTTTAAAGATATTGTTCTATAATTTTATGAACAGACCTGGTATCTAGTTATTATCATTTTTTTTTAAATTTCAAATTTCACATTTTAGACTTTAAAATGGCCAGTCTTTTTAGAATAAAACGTGTGTAATAAAATTTTATAGTGTTTCAGTAATTACAATTATGAGCAACTTTTTATACATTGTTGATGCTTTGCTGGGGACTTTGGGATTATGTTTGATGCCATTTTGCGATACCTAACCTTTGTGAGGTATTTCTAAGAGAGTTGTTTTCACTTTTCAGATTAAACATGCAATTCTATTTTTTAGACACCATGACGCACGCGGTTTTATTGTTCACATTTATGAGGCGTCGAGTTTAAGATATGGATATATTTATACTGGCGTAGAAAAGAAAAGTTGTTTAAACGGTAAATCACAAAGTAGACGTAATGTTAAATAGTATTTGTCTGAAATAATTCATTTTATTTACGTTTACTTAAAATATACTGTATGCCGCAGAAAGCTTCACAGTATTTGATGCAAGAGAATCTAAATTAATGTTTACTATCTTATTTTTCATTTCATTCTTAATGTGTAATTGTGATGACTGTAATGAACCTAGAATGTATTGAATGTTATAAATGTATAGGGCATCCCCCGACGGTTAAAAATAAAAAATATTTATATGAGCGTAGATGGAAAAATGCCTGCTAGGGCTCTTTTAAAATGGGCCCTTAGAATTAGATTTTGCTGTGATATCTTCGAAACAGCAAGATAAATCAGTGAAATTTTGACATATTGCGAAAATAATGGTTAAAAAAACTGAATTTTAGTCAAAGCGTCTCTGACTGATGTGCACGCTTCAACTGTTTGGGCCAAAAATTAAAAAAATTAAATAATTTTACGGTGAATAAACACTAACTTGTATCATATTTAATGTACCATCATTTTTTTTTAATTGTTATGCAGTGACTTTTGTCGTAAATAGCAGCGGCTATATAATCATATAGGTATCCTTTCGATAGGTTGTACCATTAACATAAAAAAATTGGACAAGCAAAATGTTTATTTGTAATTGGAAACTGAAAAAGAAACATAATTTAGATATTATTATGATAAAACACATTTTTTTTGTACTCTCAACTGATTTTCCTTGACTCCTTTTGTAAGTAGTCATTTTTCAAAATTTTTGAAATATTGTTTTTCTACGATTTTTTTTTGTTACATATACTTACCTGACAATACCTATTATATTACAACTTATTTTGCACAACATTGTTTTTCTAAATAATAATAATAATAATAGTCTTTATTGTTCTATAACATACATACATATTGCACAAACTAGTTTTCATTAAGTCGAACAAAAGGCGAAGTCTAGTCTGCACAAGCAAGGTTGTGCACACTAATCAACATAACCTATTAACTAACATAAATTTTCTAACCCTAAATAATAATTATTAGTAATGACATTTAACCACAAATAAATAGTAGTATTATTAATAATATTGCCGCTCAAATAAAAGTCTTTTATATTTACGTTTGAATGAGTATATATTGCTCTCTTTTATATCTTGATCCAAATTATTATAAACATCGCAAATTTGATAACTAAATGACCTCTTAAACATCTCAGTATTATGTTGTGGGGGAGTTAGAAGACCCTTATATCTTATATTAATTGTATGTACGTCCGTTCTAAATTTGATCTTTCTATATAGATAAGGCGGTGATTTATTTAAAATAATTGAATGATATAAACAAGCTGCATGGTGTAATTGTCTGTTTTCCATATTAAGCCATTTCACTTCTTGAAGTTTGTAGGATATTCTTTGATTTTTCCGAATTCCATAAATAAATCTGAGGCAAGAGTTTTGTAACTTTTGAATTTTACGTTTATATAATGCATTGATGCACGGTCCATACAAAACATCAGCAAAATTTAATAGTGATAAAATTAAACTTTCACAAAGCATAATTTTAGTTTCAGTAGGCATACAATGTCTATTAGTATATATTGCTCTTAATACGGAGTATCCTTTTTGTATAGTTTTATCTACATATTCTTTAAATCTAAGATCACTATCAATAATTACACCAAGACTTTTGACTTTATCTAATTTTGGCAAAATGGACCCTTGTATATTAATATCTATTTGATTTTGCACAACTAATCGATGCTTCTTGGGACCAAATATGATGACGTTAGACTTTGATGTATTGATTAAGAGACAATGGTCTTTAGCTTCATTTATAAAATTATTCAAATCATTATTAATACGCGCAGAAGCAATATCTATCTCACTAGGAGAAAATGAATAATATATTTGCGTATCATCCGCATAAAGATGTATGCTGCTAAACTTTAATGAGTTTATTAAATTGCTAGTATAAATGGTAAAAAGAAGAGGACCCAGAATTGACCCTTGCGGTACACCTGACTTTAATAACAAAGAATGTGACATACTATCATTTAATCGCACTCTTTGAGAGCGATTCTGTATATAATTTTCAAACAGCATCAAAGCATTATTTGACAAACCTATATATTTAAGGATCGCAAGCATAATGTCATGATTTATTGTGTCAAAGGCTCTACTGAAATCCAATAAAACTAATATAGAGCAAAGACCTTTATCAGTTGAATTTATAATGTCATCAACTACATGTAAGAGCGCTGTTACACAGCTGTGACCAGCTCTAAATCCGGACTGAATCTCAGGAATTAGTTTTTTTGCTTGCAAATGTACCCGTAACTGTATATCCCTTTCGATAACTTTTGATATGGTTGGCAAAATACTTATGGCACGAAGGTCCTTAAATTCCTCAGGATTACTTTTTTTTGGTAGCACAGTTATCACAGCACTCCTCCATACAATAAATTTTCAAACAAAATTTTTAAAATATGGATATTTCTATTTTTTCATGAATTATGATTAATTTAAATCGTTTGCAGTTTGAAAAAAAGTTAGAACGAATGTTATTAACATTCCCTCAGTTCGGGACACTCCCGCTTAAAGAATATAAATTTATTTTTCCGCAAATGTCTCTCTTCTTCGAGTGTCGAATGCGGTTAATTCCAAGGATGTGACGCAGCGGTCTTCTTGGAATTCTATCTCAACAAAAATATCGTACGGATTGTACATATGTATTAACCTTTTTGATACGAATGTTTTAGTATCTTATGCACTTGCAGTTGTTGAGTTTCTATGCAAAGACGTACCTTTGCCATTCACTTAACGCTTGTTTCTTTTTTTTTAGGAAAAGTACGACAACAACTGGTGGATAGGCCGTCTAGTGAAGGAGGGATCCGACATAGGCTTCATTCCTTCTCCGGTGAAATTGGAGAATCTCCGACTGCAGCAGGTCCAGACCAGGACGACGAAGCTCTACTCAAGTAAAACAAGTTCCAGCTCTAACATAGGGGCCGCTGGTAACGATGTTTCCAGAGGTAGCACTCCTCCCACGCCTGGTATGTCCCATCCAATTCACAACGGATTTTTTGTTATTATTGGTGTTGTCGTGGATGATTTTCGTTGTTTTTTCGATGTTACCCATTTTGTTCTGGTATTTTCAGTTTGTGCCAAATTTTGACATTACTTTTGGTGCTTAAGTAGGTTAAACGTGACCAACAGAAAGACTTGTTTATATTTTTGTTTGTATTAGAACCGACGCATTATTCCATTTCAACAGGGTCTGACCCCATGAATTGGTCCGTCCATGAATACGAGTACATAAAAATCCACCAGGTATCTTTTTAGAACTTGCACTCATCCAAAAATTAGGACCAAAAGTAGAGTTAGTTCTTTTTCTCTACGTTTCGAATGTTTCTACCTCTATGATGGTTTATAATATACAGGCTAATTCATAACTTGCCAAAAACATATGAGATGTACAATGTACTCATATAAATACCATAGTGTAAAAATGAAATCGAAAAGAAGACATCGAAAATTATTTAAAAATATACATACATGCCACTGGAATTTAGTTGACGATAATAACTGACCTAGCGCAACGCACGCACAGTTAATCGGTATGTATAAAATGTTTTTGTACCAAGACAAAAAGAATTTGGCGAGGTAGTAAATAAGTACAATTTTATCGCATCTAAGTATTTTATTTTACCGAATTTTGTTATTGCTTTTATTATTATTAATAAATGGCACTATTGTCAAATGTAGTATTTTAATTACCTAAGTAAAAATTAGTACTTACGTGATGCTACAATAATTGTCTACTTCCTAGTAAACACATACGAGCATTTCTAATTTAGATTGTGAAGAACCGAGACAAATATCTTTTCTTCTGTGCTTCTTCTTTGCTGATCTTGCAACAGCAAATTATTGCAGCAGCTGTAATATCGTCATAAGGACTACATACGTTGTGTGTATCCATTTTTAATTGATCGGAAGGCGCTGGCTACTAACTTTGTAGAGGGGATGTATGGTTTAATTATATAAAACAAAAGCAGAGTAAATACACCTAACCTTTATTTACATACAATTCAAATTAAACATATGACAAATAGAAAGAACAACAAAAACATTAACAACCATTAAACATAAAAGGAGAGTGCCAGGCTCACCTAGAACTCCTGTGGGGAAAGAGCATGGCAGAGAAACCCACGATCGTTGCTCTTACCACCCAAATATAAATACAAAACAACCGCTAATCAAAGGCATAAATTAAGAACCTTTGCTAATGATAAATAAGTCCTGTCTCATTTAATGTGTCACTAAATGTCATTTGTTAACCCCATATTAGTCATACACACTTCCAAGTAAAACTGGAGAGATTTGGTGTTAGCCGGCAGAGCCGGAATGTACTGAGGTCCCATAATACGGGAGGCTACTCAGCTAAAGTTGAGATTTCGGAAGATCCTTCTTAACACTGGAGTCCCATACGGGAGGCTATCCAGCGTAATCCAGATTCGTTCCGCACGGGCGAAAATGTTAGTAACTGCAACAAGGCTCGTATAGACGTGTGACATAAAGTGGACACAAGAAATCAAAGAACAACATGATCTTGTTTAAAACAAGTTAAATGTGAAATAAAGAAGTCGTTATTGCACTATCTGGGCGGTCTCGACAAAATACATATTTGAACATGTCATAAATAATGAACAATCTTAAATAATAATTGTAACAATTTTATATTAGAAAAATATACGCCCCTAAGCGTAAGACAATGAAGCCTAAACATATACAGAATTATTATCATGAGACATCTATATTTTACGAACAACGTCATCACTACAAAAACAAGTTAGCTGTAAAACAAAGGAGTAATTATTGTAAAGTCGGGGCGCCCACGACAATGTATATTTTAACATGAAATAGATAATGAGCCATCGTTAATAATAAGTATAACAATTTTACCTTAGAAAAATATATGCCCTTGAGCATAAAGCAATGGAAGCTAAACATACAAAGAATTATTATCATGAAACATCTATAAACATTACAATCATAAGATTACACAGAACAATTAACAACAAAGTACTTAAAGAATATTACCTGCTAACTAATGACACTTTAACCAATTAACTTTTCACTACTTTGACACACTGCCCGCCGATCGTCTTACTACCGAGCTCCACACTTTCTTCCAGAATTTCCTACCTAAGTGTCTGTTTTTTGTGCTTCCTTCTATCGACCGTTAATATTACTTTTTCATTGTTATACAGCACCTATGTAACAGGTGACGTCGAAGTTGAAAAGATAAGTACGGTTTTGCACACACTTGAGTATGAATTACTTCATTATTTAGATGATCCCATAGAAACAGTCGAGAAGTTTTAAGTTAGGTGGTCATGCTACCGGTTCTCTTCGTCTAATCTAGAGTACTTCGTGAACTTCATCTTGTCGAAAATGAGAAAAGACCTATATCCGTTGTTGAACAGCTAAGGACACAATGTCAAGAACACCATTTATTAAATCTAATAAGTAATGGATAATCCGTTAGTACCAATGCTTGGATACGTTGTACTTGTTAGGGATACATTTGAGTTTCGTGTAATATGCTCTACACTGTTCACTGGAATTCTGCATACGCTTGTGGAACAATTTGCTCTGCATTTTAACACGATTTTTCTTTAATTGCGTTTAAAATTTGTGCTTCGGTTGATATAATATGATGTGGATGACATAGATCCCAATCTCTTTCGTTATTCTGTCGCAAATTCCCCATTTGACATCCCCCTCGAGACATCGCAGTAAAGATCGCATTTGGCTCATGTCTACTCAGACTGACAGTGCATACAAGTAAGATGCTACTAATGCGTTTTGTCTTACTTCGCCATAAAAAAAAAACTTGTAAAATTGATGTAACAAGATTACAACACGGTAATAAGATTATTATAAAGACCACAGTAATACTGAACGAATAGGCATTTGCCAAATCAAATCGACCGAAGCTTCCTGGAGCATGCGTCCTGAGACGTCGCGCTTCGCCGCTATTTTAAAATATTGATAGTAGATGTAAAACAATGTACATCTAGTCATATATGACTCGTTGTACTGAAGAACCGTGTCGTTAACTTTTCATGATCCTGCTATTTGTCGTCGACGTCTGTTTTAGTATAGGACGGCGCCGAACAAAACACGAAGGACGAAAATTCATACCCCTAATTTTTGAAGTGTATACGAAACACATAAATGTTTATGTATTAGTTCTTGAAAATTATATACATTGATAAATACTTAATTATACTGTTTTTCATAATCAAACGCGTTAATATGACCCACACAGCTGAAATTGAAACAGCAAAAACTTTTTTATGAAAAAATTAAGTAAAAAGTGATAGTAGGAATAAGCATTTAAGGATTGAAGCAATAAAATATACACCAACACAAAAATGGACGGATCACTTTATGGGCTCCATTTTTCACTAAAAAATAAGTTTGCGGTTTATTAACTCTAACCAATTTGAATGATTTCGTGCCTGAAATTTCTTGAGCGTTTCAGTAATTTTACATTTTTTTCCAATTGTAAATGCACGTATATTTTTACCTCTCTATATATGTATTTACATGTATATTTTTGTATTCGTTCGTTTTATTTACCTTACGAAATCCCTTCTCTCTTTCTCTCAACACTCCAGCATATCCCAGCCACCGTAGAACTAGTAATAGAAAATAGTCAGTTTAGATTAATAGATACATAGCTAGAGAGTGATTTACTGAAAAGGAACAGACGTTGAAAAGTTAGTATTCATTATTTTTACTATTTATTTCTGTTCATTTTCATTTAACATTGGTTGAATTTAAGTATTTACATAAGGATTTTATTTATGGAGATGTATAAGGTAGCTAAAATTTAATAATAAGAAAAGATTTCATATGAAGAGACTTTTGTACGAGTTCGCATTCTGTATAACCAGTCTTTATATATTATTTATTTTTATAAATGCAAGAAATGTCCCAATAATAATTAGGAATATATCAATTTTGCTTTAGTTAACGTAGCCGTTCTGTTCGTAAAAATTGTTTATTTGTATGATTCCGTGCGAACAATTTTTCTTACGAATTTATGAATGATGTAACTCAGAATTTTGAAAATAATTCGAGAAATAGTTTTAACCAGATCTTCGTTAAATAACAGTTAAATGACACCATTTAATTAACAATATTTTCTTTCATCAGAGAATATTAAAAATATTTTTGTTTAATTGTTAGACGAGCGGAATAGAATAAAAAATAATAAAATATCTTTATCATCGAATATACGAGGTGTGTAAATTTAGTAATATGTAAAACTGACAACGTAGCGTTCGATATGGCAACACTGGAAGCACGGGAATTTAAATTCGAACAACGGTGTGCTATCGAGGTTTCTTCAGGCACAGTGCAACAGTGTTTTGTCAAGAGCCCAGATTTTTCGGTGGTTTAAAGCATTTTCAGAAAGAGCAGAGTCGTTGGAAGATGAACCTCGCAGTGGAAGGCCTTGAGCTGCAAGGACTAACAAAAATGTCGATAGAATCCGGGATCTTGTGCCTTCAGATCGTCGATTGACGGTTAGAATGATAGGGGAACAATTGAATTTGAGTTACACCACCACCATTCATCAGGTTTTGACCAATGAATTGGGAATGAGAAAGATTTGCTCGAAAATGGTTCCAAAAAAACCTTTCGCGGGAATAAAAGGATATCAGGACAAAAAGATGCCTTGACTTTTTGGAGTTGATTGAAAATGATCAAAATTTTTTGGAACATGTCATTACTGGTGATGATGAGAATTGGGTGTTTGAGTACAACCCGGAAACTAAACGCCAGAGTTTGAAATGGCACACTTCAGCATCTCCAAAGCCCAAAGAAGCAAGAATGAGTTTGTCAAAAATCAAAATTATGCTGATTTGTTTCTTTGATAGCCAGGGAATCGTCCACAAGGAGTTTGTGCCCCAAGGCCAGACAGTCAATCAACACTTTTACCGAGAGGTCCTTGAAAGCCTCCGAAAAAGGGTCATGCGTGTGAGACCAAACATCAAGAACAATTGGATCTTACATGACGACAATGCGCCTTGTCACAGCAATTTCAATAAACGAATTTTTGGCCAGTAAATACATTTTTGTAGCTCCTCAGTCTCCTTACTCACCTGACTTGAGTCCTTGTGACTTTTCCTTTTCCCAAGATTAAAAAGTCATCTCAAGGGACGCCATTTTGGGACACTCGAGAACATTCAAATGGCTGTAACCGACCAACTGAAGGTTATTATTCCAGAATCTGAGTTCCAGCACTACTATGAGGAGAAGAACCATCTCCAACGCTGTGTGGATTCCCAAAGAAATTATTTCGAGGGAGACAATATTGAATTGTAATTCTATTTGAAATAAAATATTTAAAAACATCTGTCTCATTACTAAATTTACACACCTCGAAGATCTTTATGGTACGTACATACGTAGCAACACATCGTAAAGCTTTATGTGTGGAGTCGCTACAACTTTTCCATCCGCAGTTAGATAAATCTGCATGGGTTGGTGTGTGCTGTTTGTCGTTACGTATGTAGCCATCGTTGTGTATGTTACATTTATGTTTCCGTTACATTCAACTGAGCACTTGCAGGGGATGAATCCGACTCCATGGGAAACGCAAGGACTGGCAAATCGCTCACGACGCCGCCAGCCAAAGAGAAGAAAAAGCCGTTCTTCAAGAAACAGGAAGCGACGGCCCCATACGACGTAGTCCCTTCTATGCGACCGGTAGTTTTAGTGGGGCCCTCGCTGAAGGGTTACGAGGTTACGGACATGATGCAAAAAGCCTTATTTGATTTTTTAAAACATAGATTCGAAGGACGGTGAGTAACACAGGCGGATTCCTTCGAATACAAAGCCATACATATTCCTAATCTTGACTTTTCTTTCCAGAATTATTATTACTAGGGTAATGGCAGATATTTCCTTAGCAAAACGTTCGTTATTAAATAATCCGACGAAACGGGCGATCATGGAACGATCCACCACCCGTTCGACGTGTCTCTCCGAGGTCCAAGGTGAAATTGAGAGGATCTTTGAGCTTGCAACAACATTACAACTCGTGGTGTTGGATTGTGATACTATAAACCATCCTTCGCAACTTGCCAAAACTTCACTAGCACCTTGTATTGTATATCTTAAAATTACTAGCCCTAAGGTACGCAACACTGTTCCTCATCTTTCCTATTGATACTCCATTTTGTGTAACAGTGAATATGTCTTGCATTGTTACAGGTCTTGCAAAGGCTTATTAAATCTAGAGGAAAAAGTCAAGCCAGGCATTTAAATGTACAAATGGTCGCAGCAGAAAAATTAGCTCAATGTCCACCTGAAATGTTTGATGTTATCCTAGACGAGAATCAGCTAGAGGAAGCTTGCGAGCATATAGGAGAATATTTAGAGGTAAGTACTCCACAAATTATTAAATCTTTTTTCATAGTAATCTGGGAGGGAGGATTTTTTATGTGACATACATAGCACGAAAGGAAATGTGCAAAACTGTGAAAAGATCGTTTCTATCTTACTACTTTGTCACTTACCCAAAACATATTAAAATTCTTCTGCAAGTTTTCTTGCAGATTTTTAAAGAGAAAATATAACAGGACGTCTGAGCTGTAATGTAATAATTCGGTGTTTCCACATTTTTTAAATAATGCCGGAACTAAATGTGTTTTGTGCATTTTGAAGTTGCTGTAAGATGAAATTTTTTCTATGATCTGCATTCTTATCAACTTTTAACATTTTGAATTGCTTTTTCCACTTACTTTACAATTAACGGTAGGTATGCCCTTCCTACATATAGTCACCCTTAATCAGTAACATCTTTAAATTTTCATACAATGTTCAATCAACTCTTTTTAAAGTTTTTAATTGCTTTTCCAAATACTTCACAGTGAACAGTAGACTCTTTCTGCATATACTAATCGTTAATCAATAACCTTCCACGTTCCACACAATGGAATGCTACTACTTTTCCACCAGAAGATTGAATTTTGGCAATCTTTGGTGGTGCAGGAGATAACTCTTGTGGATACACCGCATCGGTTCTTGTTTTGTAGAAAAATTTCAATGTTGCACCTATACCTCATTGCTATGACAATTCGAGAAATAAACATAATTTTATAGAGGGGTTTTTTCCTTTGAAAAATGTTCATGCTCACAAGTCTCTGCTCAGTCTTGGATTTCAATCCGCAAACCATAATTTCGTACCTAAATCTTTTTGAAATTTTTTTTAAGTGCACTAACAATAATAGACGCTTTCGTTCGGCAAAGTGGCAATCTTCAATTGGTCTTCTAACTTCGTCTAATTTTGCCTTAACCAGTCGTTGGAATTTTAAATCATCCTCTATGGACTCTACACATTTAAATTGTTTGGTGCAAAATTTTACTTGAAGGTTCTTAATTGGTTCTTAATTTTAGTACACTGAGGTCATCTGTTCATGATTAAATTTTGGCATCTTGCTTTATTTTGTGATATATTTTATGACAGTATGATGCTCAAGTATAATATCATCTGTTTCGATCACAAAAACTTGTTCAATCAAACGTGTATTCGATTTTATGAAAAACTCAGTATTCTCACGAAGTGTAACTAAAACGATATTAAGTATACTCCTCTCGGTTCGGTATTATAAAGAATATGAAACGTAAATCCTAGTTTTTGAAATTATGGAAACATATCAGTTCAAATATTTCTCCTTTAAAATAAAGAGATATGTTGATATTGCTCACAAAAGATATAGGTATTGAAAATACACTTAAAAACTAATTCCGATAACTTATGGTCTTTTTTAAAAGCATAAAAAATGACTAATATACCAAACTCAATGAGTTACAATGAATAGAGTTTTGAGGATCCGCACATGATCCATTTGCTCAATATTTTCAAACCGCATTTCTTCAGTTTATGATCAATCTAAAGTTGAGCTGCATAGAAATAATATTCCACAAGTTACTATATCAATTATAGCTGCAAATAAGGTTCTAATGGCATTTAAAAAAATCAAAAATGGAAGCTCGGATGGTATTCTGCTTTATATTGAAAGATTGTGCTTATCACTTTCCATTATTTTTAGTTTATCTTTGCAATCTGCTGCGTTTCCAAATAGTTGGCGTACATAAAAAAATTATTCAATTTTTTAAAAAGGAGACAAACGTGTTATAGAAAACTATAGACATGTAACAATTATTTGCAACCTTACCAAGTTATTTGGAATTGTGCTACTATTTTCTTCTTCTGTTAAGAGTATCAGGCGTTGCATTTTGAGTCGACTATGTTCTATAATAACCTATTCACTATTATACATATTTCACATTAAGCTGTATGTTAGTAGTCATGTTCTATTTTATTATATACAGCTATACAATGTTAATTAAGATGCAATTGTATTTCTCCTGTCCCATTTACTGGAATCAATCTGTCTAGGATGTGTATTCCACTAAATAAATAAATAAATTTGACATACTGATATCACAGAAACTTGACAGTAAAATATTGTAGTTTCAACTTGTCATCTCCATAGCTACCGTAGGTTACTTAAAAATCCTCTTTCGTGTCAATATGAAATTGAATTTCAAAAGGAACCAGATCTTATCCGTACCATTTCCAATGATAATTTGGAAAATTGAAGGAAAGCTAAGTGCTTGTAATTCATGACTAACTACTTTTAGGCTTACTGGAGAGCGACTCACCCAGAAAGCAGTGTTCCAAACGTACCTCGACCAATAGGTAGTTCTCCTCAAGCCTCGCCAAGTGGAGACCAAGGAAGACCCACTTTGCCAGGTAAAGCTTCTGTACGAAAATCTGCTGACATTCCATAACGAAAGCTATAACCATCTAACAAAAAACCACTACTAAATCACTTGTTGCTTCAGTGTCAGCAATATTTATTTCATTTATATGTTTGTCCTGATAATTATATTTTTTCATTTTTCTTGAAATGTATTACAGTTTAGATTGTCGAGTAGTAAAAAGAAATTTCCTCCTTTTCAAAATATTATCTAGATGTATATAGATGTTTAACCCAAATTTTTTTGTAAGAATAGATGCGACCAAACATAGATGGAACAATAATTGGTATATTTCTCTTAGAACATTTGTACATTAGAAAATTTTACTAAAGAATAGAAAAAATATAACAGCCATTTGCTTTTTGTACTAGTAACGCTAACTTCTACCTCTTCCATTCTAACAATATTAACATTTCTTTTCAGCACACCATGATGTATACGGATATGCCCATCATGAATCTAGAGGTAGTCATGCAGGTGTTAGATACATAGGATTGCAAAGTTGGGATTCTGTAGACTCTTTAGAATCACTGTCTTTTTTATGAACCACTGCATGATTGTCTTGAATTGTGCATCTTCTCATAATGTAATTCCGCTTAGTATGTCTATCTCGTGCATATAATTTTTTCACCAAGAAAAATTGTTGAAACTATTTCGTTGGTGTCGGCAAAAATTTGATGGCAGTGCATTCAAAACCTTAAATCACAATAATGTATTTACTTGATACATAACAATATAGTTATTTAATTGCTGAATCTGCTTAGTACCTAGTTGTACAAAGAATATTTTTTTTTGTAGAACTGTCACATCTTCAATTTTTAATAGTTCTATATATTCATGTTTGGTCAGATAAATGGTTAACTATTACCAAAATGGTCGTCACAAAAATTGCTATATTGGAACGTGGGCTTATTTACCACTGCCTATTTCTCTTTCAACATTTGGTGCGAGAGAAAGAATTATCTGTTTGAAAAATCTCTTTTGAATCGGAATTCTGACAGATACTGATGTGACGGTATAGTTATAGGTATTTATTCTTAGAATTATCAAACAACCACAAACTAATGTTCGATTTGCAGTTAGAATGTTTAACGTATATGAGTTTTTTTACAAACATTATTAATTTTTTATACTCTATGAAATTCTTAAGTGCCTAACTATTATATTTCATATATAAAGGGGTACGATTAAAATGCATTTTTAATAAGTTATTGTGTTGAAACAATTTTTCTTGAAGTTATGTCAGTAATTTATTATTTATTTTTATCAGATTTAGTATTATTTGCGATAGTATAAAAATGTACAACGTGGGTCCAATAAAGCTATGTGATGAGAATAAACTTGTTGAAATAAAATTAAGTTTTTTCTTCAATTACTTTTAATTTTACAGATTTTTCCGGTTCAATGACGCCGATCCCGTCAAATTATTAATTTGCAAAGATATAGTTATAGATAACAGGTTCAGTTATATTTTTGCACGGTTTTAACATACTTTTTTTCTTTTCTTTTTCGATAACGCTTCGCAACACTACATTAAAACGCAACGCTTTCGCTAATTGCACAAATAACCAAATAATGCAGAAGCACCTGGTAAAATTTGGCGCGCTGGCTCGACTGACTTATTTGCTTAGCTGGTACAATTTTGTAAGTTCGACTTTCAGTAGGCAGTAATTTTGTAACAGTACATAGTCGCACCATTATACAGAGAGTTTCTAAAATACGTAGCCAATCTAAAACAGGTTTGTTATAAACCTAAAGTTACAGCGTTATAAAGTATATACTTTATAAGTTACTCCAAAAGCATATCCAAATCGAGGAATAGTTATATTCCAAAATACATTTTTGAACAAGCAATTTTAAAAAGCACAAAATTGATACTATATTATATAATTATATCTACTACATTAATTTTTAGTTGTTTCCACATAGCAACACATGCATTGTAATATAAGTTGCCGCTGTCACATAGTTAGTTTAGTGTTCGTTAATGAAATAATGAATGCTATATCTGCATCTTCGTAAACACTCTGTATAATGGTCAACAAACTGCTGCTCAATCTCAAGTACCACCCCAAAACCTTAACTTTTCTTAAAATACTTATTGTTAGTGTCCTTTGTATTTTTAAACATTTTCTGTTTCGTAATAACGCATCAATATTACGAAAGGTTTTTGTCTTACATTGTTTGTTGTAAGAAAATTGAAACTTTCAAGCCTTGATGCCTCAAATTCCGATTCCATGTACCTACTCAAAAAAATACGTAGTTGTCTACAACGTCTCTCTTACTACAGTACATTTAAAAATGCTTGAGATTTGAATGATCTCCGATTGTGAAGAATTCATCATAAAGTAGAGCCGTGTTCTGTTTATTGAAAACTGATGCAGATAATCTGTAGATCGATGGAGACTGTTTCAAAAAAAGTTATTTAATTCACAATTAATACACACAGAAACATTTACAAGGTGCGTTTCAAACATAACAGGACTCTTAAAAAATGTGAACAAAAAGTTTTTTTGACAAAACCGATGTTATTCAAAATAGTGCCCTTCCGACTCAATACAACGATTGGGACGGTCTAAAAACATGTCCAATGAGTGTTTTAGATCGTCGGTAGGGATGTCCTTCAGGATGTCGGTACAAGCCTTTTGGGTGGCTTCTACGTCCACAAAACGCTTTCCTTTCATCGGCAAATGCATTCTTCTGAGAAGGTAAAAATCGCACGGTGCCAAATTAGGCGAATATGGGGAGTGGTTGACAGTTACATTTTTTAGTTAAAAAATAGGTCACAAATTTCGATCGATGAGATGTTCTTGGAATCGTAAAAGCAAATCAACATTATCTTGACTTTTGACTAATCCAAACGCTATTTTTTGGGTTGGGGTTTTTTTGTTTTTTTGGGTTAGGGTTGGGGTTATTGGGTTTGGGTTTTTTGGGATTTTGGGTTTGGGTTTTTATTTTTTTTTTTGGGTTTTGGATTTCCACTCTTTGCTGCTTTGTTTCTGGATCATACTGAAAACACCACGTTTCATCACCAGTCACAATGCTGTAAAGGATGTTTTTGTCCTTTTTGGCCTCCTTGATGATCTTCGAATGTTGAATTCTGACCAATTTTTGATCGTGCACACACTTTCGGTAGCTTAAATGTTCAGCCAAATTGCTCAATTCCAGTACCATAAATTTTATTAAAGATTTAGGCTGATCTTTAATGAATTTACGCACAGTTTTCATGGAATCTGCAGTGATTTCGATTTGAAAGTTCTGTTTACTTTGGAACGTATTTCATATAAATTAATACAGTACCTGTAAAACAATCCAAACAACTGTTAAAAAAAAAGGTCGTGAGAAACTCGTGTTAAGGTTATCAGATTTTATAAACATATGCTGGATATGTATATGTATCTGCATATGCAGATACATATACAAATGTAAAAGAAAAATAAATAATGCCTTGTTAAAAAAATCCAGTTGTAAAATTGAAAACATTAAATAAAAGACATATTAAACAGCAAAAATTTCTTGCAAAATTGATTTATTAAAGATAATAAAACTTCCTAATCTCGCTTACTAAGAAATTACGGTGATGACATCATGATTCTAGTTCCCTTTTATTACCTTTTATTAGGTTGTTCAGCTCTCAAGTATTTTCAAATGGACTACATCTCATAATTATGCACTAAATAAAACCAAGATAGATTAGATATATTCCAAATTTATAGATATTCAATCTCAAAAATTTCACTCCATTAGTTTAAATGGAACCGCGAACCCAAATTTAGAAAATTCAAACTCAAAAATGTCATATTCCTATTTCAAGTCGAGCTATTGATAACAAATTGTTCAAAGCTGGTTCAGATTTTAGTTGGGACAATCAATGTAGATTAGATGGAAATATTTCCTTTGGAATGATAAATCAAAGAAGTTACAATAAACTTATAATTTTTAGTCTATTCTCTTCTAGGATAGCAAATGATTATATATTTATAAAATTTCCAAGGTCTTATGGTGGTAGAGTTTCCAACAGCAGTTTAGTTGTCGATATTTGAAGTATCTAAACGTTTGAATGAAAGTGACAGTGTTTGACTTGGTTTGGTTTCGTATTTTGTTGGCGTGTTACACTAAACTAATTTGAAATCGTGAAGATATCCATATATTTTGCATTTGAATAATATACAATGACAATTTTTCTTCTTCCAATCTTTAAACACGTAGATCACATTGGATATTGCAGAGAAAATGTGTAGACAGAAAAAAATGTATGGGTACTCTTAAGAAACAGTTCCAAAGTTCCCAAAACCGTATATTTGAGTTTGAGTTTGGAGTTTAAAGTACTAACCGTACTAGTTAATATATTGATTGATGTGTTCTATGCAGTTCCAACTTTTCATACAAGCCATACGAAGAGCATGAGGGGGAGGTTAGACAGAGACCGAGATTACGATGATTATTGTGATAGAGATCGTTTAAATACTCACGGTATGCCCCACCACCTACAAGGTGGGGAAGATTATAGAGAAAGAATACCCTCCCGTGACCCTAGAACTAGAGAAGAAGAGTATTCCGCGCATAGAGGATCATCAAGGAGGGCTCTCAACGCCATATAGTGGAGGCTTTCTACGGAGCAACCTATTGAAGAGGAGATTCATGATGAAGTGTCACCTGGAGCGGAAGCCTATTACAAACCTCAGATTCCTAAAGAGTACAGGGACGATAGGACGGAGAGAGAAAGAAGATACGACGAGTCCTTCGCAGAGAGGAAGCGATCTGACGAGGAAAGGAGGTATGGTGAGAGGCGAGCTGACGAAAGGACTAGATACCCTGAAGACTTAAGGTACGAAGGGAGAAGATATGGTGACGAACGAAAAATGCTGGCAGTAGACAAGAGCAAATTGGAAGGTAGAAACTACAGGAAGGAACTGCTCGAAAGATTTGCCGAAATTGATCTTGAAGATCATCATGAGTTACCTAGCCATCAAAGATACTACGAATAAAAGGGATCCACATGGTACTTCTGGCCTAAATAATCAATAGCTTAAAAATACGTCCTCATGCCTCTGAGCAAGTAATATAGCAAATCTACAGGGTGATTCAAATTATGTCAGAAAATTCGTAAATTCACAACGTGGACCAAATCACAAATATACGAAGAGCATTTATTATACTTACATTTACATTTTGAAAAGTTGCAGAAGAAAGTAATATTAAATCATATAATCTCCCATAAAGGAAGCCAAAATAACACTACTATTCCCTAAAATGTTTTGCTAACGTTCCTCTCAAAGGAGTTATCTTATCCCATAAGTGTTTACCTAAAGATTAATGTTTTGGGTTCTAACTTATAAAGCGCATTGTATATTTTGATATAATTTTGGCCTAAAGTGTCCATGATTTGATGTTTATTAATACAAGATGCGACTAGAGTTTAATTTTTCACGAATTATTTCATGAAGTTACTTTATTTAACTCTTATCAAGTCATTGAGTCCAAAAAAACTTTAGCAATAGTTTAAGCTAAAAAATAAAGACATTTACTAAGCTTTTAGTGATCAATAAGTATGTTTTATGAACACCTAAATTACCCAACCTAAACCCACTAAACTTTTTCTGTGAGGTCACCCAAAAGAACTCAATTATTCAACACCTGTACATACTGACAAATGACTTTCTGTTGAGAATAACACAGAACTGTAATCAGATTCATAACAATCCTGAAATGTTATTTCACGTGTACTGGGAAAAAATACCTAGAATTAAAAAGTGTTCGGGGAGCTAATTTTGAAAACTTGATGAAGGGATTTTTATATTTATCCCATTTTTATTATTATGCAAATGTTTATTTTAAATATTTACCTTGTTTTTCTTAAGTTATGAAAAACCATTTCAAAGCTTTTTGGGTTTGATAAAGTTAAAAAACCAAATAAATGATATAAATCGTAAAAGAAACAAAATCTAGCTGTTGCTACCTAGTTGAAAAAACCGTTTTTATTGAGATAAATGTAACTGTTTTAAAAAAGAAATTTCTAAAAATGCTATTTTCAGTTTGATAGCATGACAACTCTTAAAATTTTTAAATAATGTGTCGAAGATCTCTTTTAATATCAAATCATACCAATATTTTGTCAAAAAAAAAAACATACTAAATTAAAACCCATAAAAACATTAGGAAAGAAAGTGTTTTTTGATTTCCCGTATATGCTCTCAGGACATTAGTAGATACTGGATAACCTGTATGCTATCCTTTTCTTTAAAATACTATGATGATTTTATGATTAGCTGTTCCAATGTCAGTTTAGACATGCTGATCGAAAGACGTGTTCCTCTTTTCTTTTTATTATTCTTCAAATTTATATTTAATAGATTTGTTATTCATCTTAAATGAATCACCCTGTATAATGTTTTGTGAAATTTATCAGCGTCGTCATTATTTTGCGGTGACTAATATATTTATAAAAAATTAGAATAATAATAATTATATTACTTGCTTGGAAAATCGTACCCGTTTAGAATAATGAGGAAAAAGCGAGAAATTATTGTAGTATCTTCCTCGGATTCTTCAATGGAATGTTCCGTAATTGTGATTCTCTATTATAAACATTAAAAATTTTGACCATTTTGGTGCCATATTTGAGTAATAGCTCAATTTTTAATCAATCTAATTGAAATAGAAAACATATTCAAGCTTTAATCTGTAGCTATACTTAGGATTTTTAAAAATTATTTATAAGGAAGGGTATTGTTGAAAGCCGTGAGAAAATTTATGTATTTTATATATTATTGTATAATAGCTTAAAAAGAACTGAGATATTATACTTTAAATAAAAATGTACTCTATATTGGAGTGGTATTCATATTTTGCTTAATTTTTAATAGTTTCAAATTACCTACGTGATATTAAAATTTAACGTCAAGTTCTTGACTGATCCTAGGAAATTTTAGATAAAGTTTGCACAGCTGTTAGAATGTTATGAAATATAGTAAATGCATGACGAGGTTGAAGCTTTTCCAAGATAGTTAATAATTAAAAAAAAAGAAGAAAACAGAACAATGTAAATTTGTAAGAATAAAAAATTAAGCTGTTTTCAGAATTTAATATCTACATATTTAGGGTTATAGAGTCAGTCAGCTGATTATTTAGGAAATATCGCAGATTCTCTAGTACATCTTATTTAGTACTATCGAAGTACTACATATGTAATACCAAAGACAATCACAAATTTTTTATTTGGAAAAAGATGATACAAAACAAACTTTCTTATATGTGAATAATTAAACACTATAATTTTATGTGAATATAACTAGGTACATTTGTTACCAATATAAATAACATATACTAAAATGTCAGGGACATTAGTAAAAATTTGTTAATAATGTATAAAAGTCATTTTATCTATACAGGATGGTCCGAATTTTATGCAGGAAACTTCGAGGGCAGATAGATATCTTTAAAATAATATGTGTTTGCCTTATGGAACAGGAACAGTCCTGTTTTAGAGATACAGAGTGTTGAAGTTGTTAAAAAAAAATGATTTTTTGTTTATATCTCTGGAATATATTAATCGATCCCAAAATTTGGTACAGATAAACCCCTTTTTACAAAAAAACCTACACCACTGCATTTTTTACAAGTCATTGTAACTGATTTATATTCTAATACATAAAATACGTAAAACAGGTGACTTTAATTTTTTCCCTAAGATTCGCCGTAAATAAATAATAATAATAAAAATATATTTACCAAGCAACAACAACTAAACAAGAAACAAAATTAGCATTACGTGTTTACAACAATTGTTCAAAATGCGAACCACCCACATCGATACATTTCTGACATATTCTATTAATGGAATTAATTGAAGCTAATATCATGTGATGTTTTTTTTTAATTCTTTACACCCGTCTTCTATTCGTCGTAGTAGTTGTGGTCTTGTATCTATTGGAGTAGAACAAACTTTACTTTTTAAATAACCCCAAACATAGTAGTCCAGGGGGTTTAGATATGGCAATCTGGCTGGCCAAGACAATGGACTCTCTGCACCATTATGGTTGACATTGGCATTTGGTCTTCTACCTATATCCATCGCCCCATATAATTTTCATTAAGCCATTCTTATATTATTCTCCCAGAATGCGCAGGAGCACCATCTATTATATCCAGCTATTTTGTGTATTATTTAATGGAACATCCTCTAATAATTCAAATAGATGGTTTTCTAGAAAGTTTAGAAATGACTGGGAATTTAGATGGAGTGGTAAGAAAAAAGGTCCACAAACTTTATTGCAAATTATTCCGAGCCACACGTTCATAGAAAATTCGTGTTGAAAGGATCTTGTCCGAATTTCATGAAGATTGTCTTTGATAAATGTACATTTATTATTATTTTGATTTAAATTGTTCTTATTTGTAAAGATAGTGGGTTAGGCTTCCAGGGGAAACTAAAACGCGTAAGGAACTCTAGGTGGTGTGGAAGCGAGTGTAAAGAATTTTGTTGATGTGCTTACAAATTCCACTTATTTTTAAGCATAAACATAAACATTCTTGTAGTAGAAATGTCTGCCACAAGGGGATTGTATTGATATGAATAACTTGAAAACGGCGAATCTTAGTGAAAAAATTCAAATTACCTCAAAAAAGGAGATGACCCCTGCCCAGTTGTACACCACTGGTTGTACTTTTAGGGCTCATATTTTAGGGAATGCAAGGAATCATAGATTATCTGTACCAGATTTTATTGAGATCGATTAATAGTTTTTTTAACAACTTCAACACCCTGTATCTCTAAAACGGGTCCGTTCCAGACTTATGGTTATAAGGCAAATACATATTATTTTAAAGATATCTATCTGCTGTCGAAGTTTCCTGCATAAAATTTGGACCACCCTGTATATGAAACTTAATAAATACATCTTCCAAATTGTAAATTTTTATTTCACTACCACACTGGATGTTCCAAAAATGCACTGTCATAAACATGCACATATTTTCTAATAAATATACAGGGCGTTTTAGAAAAGGTACCATAAACCAGTAAAACACCAAATTTAAGCTATATTCTAAAAAAAAAATAAATTTCCGTGCGAAAATTTGGTAGAAAAATTTTTGACTGCCAAATACGTCACAGTTGCTAATTTTTGACCATCGCTAACTGCGTCATCTTCCCGTTTCAACTATTCTGATGATTGGAAATGCTTGTTATTAATGCATTCCACCTACCGTTAAAAAATTATCTCCAAGTTTGTCAAAATCCTGTACCGTTTTTTTTTGTATAAAATGGGGCTAAAATTTGATTTTAAAATACTATCCTCGACGCCCTGTATGTCAAAAGAAGTGAATAGGTCCACTCCGTAGGAAAACATTGCCTTATTTTTTCACCTTTACAGCAAAGGGTTGTTTTTATTAAAATATTTTTGCTTAACCAAAAATTTTTGAACGCTGTAAAAGACAAGACAAATAAAAAAAATGAACATCCACAATGCAATCAATCGAAATCCATCCTTTTTTTGTTTAGAAACCACGTTTCTTTTGACAGTATTGACAGTTCCAATTAAAGAAAAATTTACTTTATTTTATTTCACTTGTGTGTTGCTCCAAAGAACATCCTGTGCAGTTGACATGTCACAATTAAATACATTTGGTGCCAAACTTATTTCAGGCAGGTGTGTGATCTATTTCACAAATGCACCTAGTTTATTCCATATGATATAAAATCTGAAAACAAGGCTTTACAAATTGTAAATTATTGAACTGCATGTGCCACAGACAGTGGTAATATCACCGACCAATTTCACTACACGAAAGCAAAATATTTGTATAGTCGTAGTATTATCGAATATTTTAGGTTTTTGCACTAGACTCTAGCAAAGTTCGTAACGTACGAATTTTCCGTTGATTGTACTATTAGATGTTAGGGGTTACTTACGAATTTTGCTAGACGTGTTTCTTTTTCTAGATAGAAAATAGTGCCATATTTTCTTTTGTGTTTTACTGTAACTAGACTTAAGGGAAATCCCTATTATGAAATGCTGTTAATATTGAATGAGTCTATTGAATATTTCAAATATAAGTAATTATAATATTTAAATGAAGAGCTAAACTTTGATACCTTGTAAATAGCTATTAAATATTAAAAGAATTCTATACTACTTATAAACAATTGTGTTTTTAATTTGTATGATTAGTTATAAGCTAGTTAGTACGATTGAAAGAGAAAATAATTATTCAATTGTTAACGAACTGTTTTATATCTATAATTTATAAGTTACTCTAAATGCCTTGCTATTATGAGTTTTTATATTATTATCCATTTAAAAATACTTAAATTATTATGAAGGGTGTGACGGAGAGGCACTATTGATGTGCGTTTTTCTAAATAAAATACATACATAATAAAACAAGTAGCAAATTTTATTACCTATTGCACCACCTATATCAGCTACACAAAGGTAGGTACTACCTTAGGTTGATAATATATAAGCTGAATATTAAAAGTGTACATATATTTTAACGGCGAATATAATTCGCTATGTTTTTTAAATTACAAATATTTACGGAGATATTATTTTTAATCATTACATTTACATGCATATTTTGAGGGCTGCTGTTTGTTGAACTCATCTAGAGTTCGGGGGGATGCGGCTCTTAACAGAGTCGTACTTGGCTCACTACCTCATTTTCCCTTTCAGTCCTTTGTCACACTTTTTTCTGCCTACATAAGCTATTGCCCTTTTCGTGGTCAAAATTTGAAAAATTATTATATTAGTGACTTTTTATCTGAAATCTAATAATACACATTCTCCACTACATTAAAAAATAAATAGTATTTAACAACTCCTGGTGTATTTTAATTTACATTAATAAATATTATATATTTAAATTAATTTTTTTCAACACTTCTATGTTCCAAAATTTTGTTTAGACAGTGTTAAAATTGCAAGAAACTTTGCTAAATTAAAAAAATATCTTCTAAATATCGGATATTAAAAAAATTGTAGCAGGCATTTGCAATTTGGAAGAAGTTTTAGTTTCGAAATATTCATTTTTAGTGTGTATACTACTGGTAAGTCATTTTCTAGCAGGAGTTACAATTCAATTATTATAAACGTCGAAATCTCGCCCCAAAAAAACTTAAAAAAGCATGTAATACTTTGTAGGTAGTACAGAGCTAAGTATTTTGACAAAAAAATATCAAATAGTATTTTAAATGTAAAATAGTATTTTGTATTTTGCAATTAAAATACTTTTATTATAACCTCAAATATATTTTATATTTCAAATACTTTATTAAAAGAATTTTGTATTTTGTATTTTAAAAAATTATTCAAAATCTTCTAAAAGTAATTTAAATACTCCTGAGTATTTAAAATACTCGAAGTATTTAAAATATCCAAAATACCTACCGAAAACAGACTTTTTTCCTGTAACGACTGCACGCCTGGATTTAGCGCATTCTTCAATGTGCGTTGTGTGTTATTGCTATTCTATCTACTACGTTTTAGGTCACTACCATCACTAGTCAAGTCAGTAGATAATCATCAAAATTTAGAAAATGATTTCTTTTATCATTAGTCACAGTCTAAGAAAAACTAAAAAAAAAATTATGAGTTAATTCAATATTCTGCATCTCAGTAATCCAGATGAAAATGATATTTGCAGACTCATGTCTAGTTTTCAGAGTTTCAGATTTAATATTTCATAAACATATTTTAAATACTGTTAATGAATATTTTCAATATATGTATTTAACATTCAACATACTTAAAATACTTTATCAAAGAAGTATTTTGTTTTTAAGTATTTTAATATACGTACTCGTATTTTGTAATTTGTATTTTAATACATTTTGAATGTATTTTGCTCAGCGCTGTGTGGTAAGGGTAAGTGATTCCAATGTTACGTATTTTCTTACTTTTATATTTAGCGTATTCCCGAACTATACTATCAATATTTGTAGGACGGCAGGGGCAGCACAAAGTTGACGTGTTTATGTCGATTAGTTATTTTCGGGGACGGTGTTTTTCTTTTAAGTGGGCCTAAGTGTACTTAATTAAAATTTTATGTGAATTAAGTATAGTGTATCCACGTGAAATATGGTGGTTTATACGAACAGTAATATGGCAAATACGTTAAAAACAGTAATTTTGTAAGGTGTACATCCCTCAGTAATAGTTCAATGAATGGAGAAATTGTTTATTGCTGAAGATAAGAATGTCAAGAAAAGGGGTAGGCCGTAAACATTTTTATGAATATTATATTTCGTCCAAAAAGATATTTAATTTCTTTCTTCCACTTCCATACAAAAAGTTAAGAGTTTGAGTTACGGGTAACACTGGCAACACTGCGCAGTTGATCCACATAACGACGTAATGTTACAGTGGAGTCAGCGGTTCTCAATATGTTTTCTATTAAAAAATCAAGTGTATTTGTTTGAAACTTGACTTATTCGTAATTCTTTCATACAAAAAACTATTAATTTGTTCTACACAGTAAACTCTACTGTTGTTTAAAATATATGTACACAATTAAGATTCATTTTATACTGGAAATTAAATAGTAGCGCATTTGACAAAGTAGGTTAATTTATTTGATAAAATACTGAAGACTTTATTTACAATACATGTAGCTTAAATGCCAATAAATCTTAAATATATTCGTAAATAGAATATACATACATGAGTATATTATATACAATATCAAAATGTTTGAGCGTACTCCTCATATTAAAAATTGCCAGTACGACAATGGTTTCTATTTGTAAAATACATTTATGGCAAAATACTGAGTAGATTCCTACAAAGCCGATTTAATGTCACAGACCCGATTTAATTGTTGTATCTGAAGACATTTTGTTACTGATTATGGTATCACCCGACTCCTCTATGTTCATGTCTCTTTCTTCTTCCTCATCGATGATGCTGATGTCTCGAATGGATGGACGATGGCTCCTCCTCCATCCCTCAGGTACTGTAGGGAATCTGGTCTTCGTGAGTAACCGTGGACCAAGTATCGTCATCAGAATGGCGGCCGTGGGTGCTGTCAATATTATGGCTAAAACGCAAGTTGTTAGCACTTTTTCGGCGTAGCCGGCTTCTTCGGTACCAGCCGGTACCATACTAAGGGCAATCGGACCCAAGGCAGCCTAAAAGAATTTGATTAATAATAAGGGTGTTCCATTTTAAATTACGCATTGCAATATCTTCTTAGGGAAGCATTTTCAAGAAACACTTTTTAGACAAAAGTTGTAGGGTTCCGAGAGGATATTCGATGGGGACCATGACCTTGACACAAAGGTCAACCGTAGAGGTCATCTGAAGGTCAACTGACAATTTTAGATATGATAGATATATTTCTGATAGCGTAAATTGATAGATCAGAAAGTTCAGTTATGTCTTTATGTTATGGGTCAAAGTGACCCTAAAGGCTTATTTTACGGTCAAATAATGTTCGCAATAAGATTTTGTGATATTTTTCATGTAAACATTTACAACGATGAATTCTTGTTGAAAGTTTTATGTTTTGATGGGATCATACGATAATGACCTTGACTATGACCTAGAGATCACGCTTGGAGGTTCTTTGGAGGTCAAATCAATTTCCCCTGTTTCGTAAATTGATTTGACCTTCAAAGAACCTTCAAGTTTGACCTCTAGGTCATGGTTAAGGTCTTCTTCGTATGATCTCATCAAACCATAAATCTTTCAATCAGAATCCTTCATCGTAAGTGCTTTCCAGAAGAATATCGCAAAATCAGAACCTTATTTGATCTTAAAATAAACCTTTAGGGTCACTTTACCCATAACATAGACTTATTTGAACGTAAAATGTTCTGTTCTATCCATTTCTGGTGTCAGAAATATATCTATCATGTCTATACATGTGAGTTGACTTTCGAATGACCTCTATGGTTGACTTTTGTGTTAATGTCAAGGTCACCTTTGAATGTCTCCTCAGAACCCTACAACTTTTGTCCGAAAAGTTTTTTTTCAAAGTGCTTCCCTTAGAAGATATTGCAACCCGTAATTTAAAATGGGACATCGTGTATGTGATGCCACAAAACAGCGAAGTTAATAATAATTTTTATTGTAATAAAGAATTCGAATAGTTTTGTGTATATGGAAAGGATAGTAATAATAGGATAACGAGTATATGGTTTATATCTCACAGGTATTGATAAAGTTAGACACTGAACTTATTTAGTATCTGTCGATTTTGTTCAATATCATTTGTAATGAAACCAAAGCTCAAACAGTATTGCATGCATTAATATAAACAGAATTAGATATAACAAATAGTGCAACAGCAATTGACCTCAAGAAATATTGAGAATTTATTATTATTGAGCTGGTTGTAACTGATGTGGCTTTCCTTGTTTTTTTTAGACAGCTACGGGTTGCTTTAATGCTACATAAAAAAAGTTTTCGCATTGCATCTACTATTACGCTGCTTGGAAATGATTGTTACTGTATTATTATCTTTATATCTCAAAATATTGTCAATTCATTTGCGCAATATTTTGAGGACTGATTCTGAATTCAATATCTCTAATATAACAATTCGTCACTTATTAATTTTTAAAGTGTAACTGAATCTGAAACATTATTGTCTTCCGATATATGAAAAATGTATGTCTGCGTTTGTTATTCCTTCAAGAAAATTATTTTCCCAAAAAACACAAACCCCCTGATAAATTTTCAGGGTGAGTTCTATTAAAGAAAGCTTCAAATAACAGTTGGAGGACATCAAAAAATTAATACGATGGTGGTCTTAGGTTTGACCTAATCCTTAAGTTTGACTTCCGTATGATGTACAGAAACATACCAGTAAAGTTTTTCGACACCATATTCGGAAACAAAAGGCGCTCTATTGATTGCTGGCGTAAAAAAATAAGGCTTCCTATTTAATATATATTTTCAACTTGACCTTAGTTTGACCTTGAAAGTTAAGAACAAACCTAAGGTTATCACCATATTGATCTCCTTTCCAATTGATTGGAAATAAACTAAAGCAAGCTCAATGTATACTCTACAGGTTATTCTAACAAACACTAGCATAAATTCAGGGTCTGATAGAATTTCGAAAAAGATTACAATTTGTTCCTATGAACCATGGGCGTATCTTTTTCCGTTTTCAAGATATAGGGCGCTGAATATAATTTTTTAGATTCTAGTTTCGGTCCTATCGTCCACAAAATTCGTCCGAATGAACTGAAATTTTGTTATGTGGGGTTTCTGGGAATAATAAATGCTCTGGAGTTATTAATTTTTGGCTATATCACACAGGGCGTTTGGTGCAGTACTCCGCGGGAACATTTTAGGTCCTAACATTTTTTAAGTAAATCTTTTTGCCCCTTTTGTCACTTGTTATTATGACAAATATTATTCTAAATAAAAAAGGTGCTCTTGTAAGAAGTGCCAAAAATTTGCCCGTTTTCGAGAAAAACCAGGCATAGTGCGCCAAAGTCAAGCAGCTAGTATCCCAAATTGTTTTTTATTTCAAGTAGGCTTGTGTCAAATGGGTGAAATGAGCGTGTGCATTATCAGAACAAGTATTTATTTTAATTCGTGCAATAAGAAATTTGTACTTGCTACGCTATGAATAACGGTAATAATTATTCAAACTCGAAATATACCGATATATGTTGCTGACTTTGGTCGAATGTTTAGCGAACAGTTTTGCTGCTGTAAGGCGATATTAAGTGAAGCAAGTGAAAAGCATGTTTTCTTGTTTTAAATCTTATTTAAAAAATAATCCAATTTGTTCCATATAATGGTTTTTATTTATTTTGCAACATCAGAAATTCCTCAGAGCTCAAATCTTGGACCTCTGTTGTCTCCTCTTTTTATTAACATCATTTGTGAAGCAGTTGCCTGTAAAAATTTGCTGATATGAAAATCTTTACTACTTTTTCTTCCAGATTGCCAGAAGATGACTGCTTAATATTACAGAAATCTGGTATTTTAGAAATAAATTGAAGTTAATGAAGGGAAATGTAATATTGATTCCTATACCAGGAAAAGATTAACTATTTATTTAGAACATTATTATGTTATAATTGACACTCGACTTTCCCGTTATTAAACCGTTAATATCAATGGTGTACTTTTTGATTGTCGTTAATAATTCCGAGAAAACATAATTACTTAGTAAAACAAAATCGAACTACTTTATTTTGACCAATCGCAGATGCTTTAATAATCATCAGTATCATAATTTCTACTGAAAAAATTCAAACAGAGCTTTTAAAATGTGAATAATTCAAGAACTTTGAAACTTATCTAGTAATAAATATACAGGGTGTCCCATTAATATTGCGAAAAAATTCAGGGGGAGTTTCCTTGACCAAAAATAAGAAAGAAAGTTCCTATAAACCTTTGACCGAAAATGCTTCGTTTCGGAGATACAGGGTGTTGAAATTTAGAGAAAATACAAGGTTTTTACTAATATCTGGAAGACCCTAAATCCGATTTTTTTGAAATTTGATGTGTTTGTTTATAAAAACGGGGAAAATCCTCAATTTTTAGTAGAACAGCCATAATGAACTTCCATAATAATCATGTATGGGCGGACGAGAACCCAAATGCAATATTAGAAGGCCGTCATCAACACCTGTTTTTACTTAATGTATGGGTCGGAATTGTGGGAGACCACTTAATAGGCCCATTTTTTTACAACCGAGGCTTACTGGAGATGTTTCTCGCCGTTTTCTTGAGGATGAATTGTCCGTACTTTTGGAAGACATCCTATTGCCATTAAGGTTGCAAATGTATTTTATGAACGATGGTGCTCTACCCCATTTCAGTTTAGCTGCACGTGAATATTTGAACAATATTTACCCAAATCGCTGGATAGGTCGAGGAGGCACTCAACCCTGGCTCCCGAGATCTCCCGACTTAAATTCGTTGGATTTTTCCATTTGGAGTCACTTCAAACATTTGGTATATACGACTCCAGTGCAAACCATAGACGAATTAAGAAACCGCAATGTCGCATCCTGTGAAAGAATATTTGAACAGGTTCGCCAATCAAGGTGTCGTAGGATAAATGCCTGTATTAGAGTTGAAGGTGCACATATTCAACAACTGCTGTAAAGTATTTTTCATATCATTGTTTTTGTTAAATATTTTTTCTTATGTTTCTGTTAATATTAATTATTTAAAAAATATTATTTAGTGAGTTATAGCTTCTCAGTTTGTTACATTGTTTTTCCTTCTAATGTATTGTTAAAGTTGATTAGTAAATTACTAAAACATTGAATTTCTATTTTTGTTTTCTACTTCCCTTAAGAATGTGCATATGAAAGGATATTAATTTTTTGCTCGAAAACGAAGCAAGATATCAAAAAGACTAAAGAGACAAAAAAATATGTATTTTTTATCGCATAATTAGAAAAACATATGACACCTAAGAAAAAGTAGTGATGTGTCATATGTTTACTAATTAATATCAACAGGAGTGAGTCCCCGGACGCCGCTGGAATAGATAAAATAAATCAAATTACGTCAGAAGACATCTACTGTTTTTATAAACAAACATACCAAATTTAAAAAAAATCGGAATTAGAGTTCTCCAGATATTAGTAAAATCCTTGTATTTTCTCAAAATTTCAACCCCCTGTATCTCCGAAACGAAGCATTTTCGGACATAGGTTTATAGGAACTTTCTTTCTTATTTTAGGTCAGGAAAACTCCCCCTGATTTTTTTCGCAATATTAATGGGACACCCTGTATATTATAATATACTACTAGAACTAATTTCGATTTGGGACGTATATAGGGATGTATACAGACTTTCTTCAACATTAAAAAACTAGTCTTTGTTTAAAACATCATAATGTACCATGAGTAAACTATGCCACTCACATCATATTTATTCTGATAATTTTAATATATTGGTTACTACACACAATTGCTGGACCAGGAACGATATTTGGGTAATTATCTGCACATATTCTCTTGTTTATGTTTATTCTTAGTTAAACATTATTTTTAGTAATTACGGACAATTATTGTGAATTAGTAAAGCTATTATTATTTTGACGTAATTGTTTCAAGTAAATCAATGGATTAAGTTTACCTGTACCGTCGCCTTCGCCATCAAAGACATCGCAACAAATGTTTTTTCTTTAGTATTCAGTTTGCATCCGATACCGATGACTATAGTGACCAAAATCCTTAAAACAGCTGCAGCAGCCAGGATACCAAGACACAGGCAAACAACGCTTCCGTCCAGTTCGTCGATCTTAACAGTGGCACCAGTGATACCAAATAAAACGGGTTCACATATCATCCAGAAGATTTGGAAGGCTGTAGCAGCGGGATTATCTTCTATCTCCCAACCCTGCCTAGTCCAGAATACTAGGCATACAAATGCGACTGACACGCACCCTAAAGGACCCGCCCCTCCATATCCGATCAGTTCGCTGCCGAAGACGGATGTCATTCCGCCGATGAGTAGGAGTAGGATTCTTAATGGGACCAGAAATGGGTCATTTCTTTCTGGAGCGTAGTTGCACATTAGGCCCCATAGAACTCCAAATCCTATGCCTATAACAGAAAATTTGACATTTTAATTCTAGTAAGAATCCTAGAACAGAAACATTGCTTCAATGATATGACCAACTGTTTTTGAGAATTTATTCATTTCAATAAATTTTCCAATTCAAACTAATCAACTAGCATTATTTTCTTTGGCAGGAAATTGCAAATTGAAATTTCCATATTACAGTGGACTAAGTTTAATCCAGATATGGAGGCAAGGTAATCTTTCTATTTGAATTTAATTGAAACTTGAACTTTATTTTCATCTTCATGAATCTATCTTCATTTCCGCCACTGAGGTAGATTTATAACCCCCATGTCTTTCGATAGAGGTAATATCTGCCCTAGAATAAGATAAATTCGTCACAGAATAGAGTCTGAAAAAGTGGCTCGTATTTATAGTTTTTGTACTGAAATATTTTGGAGTACTATAATGAAATAAACTTTTTTATTGGCATCTTTTCTATTAGCGTATATAATGAAAAACCTACAATTTCTAGTAAATATAGGGCGCACAGCAGAATATTTTCCATATAGACTGTGTTCAGAGATTGGCCAGACCAGGTAGAGTCTTTTAGCGAGCAAATATCGTTGGTCAGCTCAGTCAGATGATTAGAAATATTGGGCAGGTTTTAAAACATAACTACTGTGGATAAGACCGTTCAGTAACGAAATCTGAGCTCCGATTTTATATAATCATTTAGATCAAGATGACTTGTGAGATGGATTAACAACAAATATTAACTGAAAAATAATAATATGACTTTCAGGTATGAAAACTAGAGAAACAATTGAAATTCATGATCGGAAACGACTGATTTGAACACTTTCAAACTCGTTCGCCGAATTTAACCAAGCTAGTCTTACTATTCGCCGAACATAGCGATAAAATGTAATATACATGGTCGGAAAGTCCCCATGGTTCATCGGTCGTAACGTGAGAGCGATAAAGTAAGTCATAGAAATCCGTGCGATAGAGAAGGATGGCTATAATGAAGGCGTCTCATAGTCACCGCCCGTTTCGCCCTTCCACAAATAAGATCCATTTCCACTTGTAATTCAGCGACCGGTGGTCATCTTTGTTTTCGTCGTTTGGCTTTTCTTTAATAGATGTCACTACTTATACAATTTCGACTTCGGTAACGCGTAACAAAGAAGACTTTTTACAGTAGCTAGTAGATACCTCTGTTTGTAAATCTAGTGACCTTGTTTCCCATACTGAGAAGTTATTCAAATGGAATATACTGTTCAGCTGCATTTAAAGTTCATTTAGTTCTTATTTAAGTATACTCTTTAAAATGACTTAAAAATCCCAAGAAATAAAGCAAAATTCCCTATTTCCCCAATTCCAAAAAAATCTGTAGATCTGGCATCACTCTTTCTAGGGCTGCGCCTCACCTTAGACAAATCGTGCTGCCCTCTGTTAACGGATTGTATTAACATATCGGAATACGAAGTGGGAACTGTATAAGTAGTGACATCTGTTACAGAAAAGGCAAACGACGAAAACAAAGATGACCACCGGTCGCTGAATTACAAGTGGAAGTGGATCTTATTTGTGGAAGGGCGAAACGGGCTGTGACTATGAGACGTCTTCATAGCCATCCTTCTCTATCGCACGGATTTCTATGACTTACTTTATCGCTCTCACGTAACGGCCGATGAACCATGGGGACTTTCCGAACCTGTATAAGAGACATCTAAACGTCTAAACAAAGCTCTGATTATGTGTCTTGCTATAAGAAATTTTAGTTATAGCCATAATCTTTTTCTTCAATTTTCTATACTGTTTTCTCTACAAGAATTATAAAAACCTACCCATTATTAAAATAATTTGAAAAATGATTATAAATAAACTAATATATCCTCATAAAGAATAACAAGAATTATCTTCCTTAATGAAAACGGCTTCCTGTATAAATGTTTCGATTTATACTTTCGTCATAATTTTATATTTCTTTGGACGATGTCTAACTGATTTACTTTTAAAAAAGCGGACCCGTTTTGAGAATTTTCTTAATTAACATTTTCTTTAATAACTAATGTACTTTTTGACGTAGAATAAATAACCATAATGCTAGAAGTATCATGACCTTCTATTGAAAATAAATGAGTACAACATTTTCAGATATTTTCTTTAGTTTCTATTCAATATATCAATATCATTATAAGTTGTTTTATATTGTACTGCAGATACCTCAAGAGCATCACATGAAAAATCCATTTCGCTTTCCACTTCATTCATACTTAACAATTAGGACGAAGTATTTTAACACTAGTTTTTTTTACAGAATTTGTCAACACGGCAGGTATAACAAATATTGTGTACGAGAACAAATGACTATTGATCTTCATTTGTCTACGCTTTTTACCTACTGCAAATAAAATATGATCGATACATATGTCTGCCATGCAAAGTCATATTAATTTATCGTAAATGTCAAAATAGTTATTTCCTTCCTCGCAAAATTTGAACAATGTGTCTAAGCAGTTTCCTAAAAATAGTTTGGATTTGAAACACAGCTGCGGAGTCACTTTTACATTCTCGAAAGACTTGTTCCGCAAAAAAAACTCTCTCTTCTTAGAATCAAAAATGACTATTTACAAACAGTTCCTTGGAATATACAAGGTGTCCCAAAAGTGGCGCTCGTCCTTCTGGGTTTTGATTAAGGGGACAAGAATAAATCGAAAATCAAGAGTGGAAAATTTTCCGATTGTTTTGCTTTGTTGACTTATTTAATAAATTATTCAAAAAACTAAAAATAAACATTTGGGCTGGGTTATTAAATAATTATGTAGTTCAGAGGTGTATTTGCTGCAGCTGTATGTTTTTAAATGAAAACTTACCATTGCCATTGCTGTATGACGTTCTGTTAGCAGTTAGACTAAATTATTGGTTTCAACATGATGGAGCTCCATCACATTATAGTTTATGAGTATGAAATTATCTCAATCAAAACTTCCCAGACAGATGGATTAGAAGAGGTGGACCCATAGCAGGACCTCCTAGATCACCAGATCTGAATATACTATATTTTTCTTTTGGGGTTATTTAAAAGAAAAGATTTACAGCGAACCTGTTGTATATCCAGAAAATGTAGCCTATATACACGCTGCTGTCGCGTTAATAGACGTGGAGATGCTACAAGGGGTTTATGTTTCAATGTTGAATCGTGTCAACATTTGTCTAGAAGTACAAGGCAACTTATTTGAACATCATTTGTAAAAACAATTTCTATTATTTAAGCACATTATGGTTTTAGTTTATAAGTTTTTCCTCTTCATTTTATAAAATTGTTTTTTAATAATAAATGTTTTCCTCTATCCTTTTCAGATTACATATTATTCCTTGCACCCAGGTACTTCCAACCGACAATCGAAAACTATACTTACCTACTATTGGTTATTTGTCTTGGTCCCTATAAGCACAGACCTCAGTTTTGAGACAAAAAAATTAATTTTCACTTTTTTAGTTTTTTTGAATAACTCGATAAAGAAAAACAATCGGAAACTGTTCCACTCCTGATTTTTAATTCGTTTTTGTCCCCTTAATCAAATCCCAGATGGAGCGTCACTTTTGGGACACCCTGTATTTTAAAATACTTTTTATACCTCCGACAATGGACACAGGTCCCTGGATAATTAAAGTGGTGATAGAACTGGTGGAAAACATAATACTCTTGACTATCCCGAAGATGGCTACAGAAACGGCATCGTCTATACCGGCTATTGCGATAATTAAAGTTGGTATTCCTTTGGCCACACCATATCCTTTTGTACGCAACCGGAAGAGACATGGTACGACAACTGCCGGCGAAACGGCAGCTCCTATCGATCCTACGATTAAAGAATAAATAGGTACATTTCCTGTTAAAGACTAATAATATTTTGAACTTACCGAGAAGAATAGCATAATCCCACGGTATTCTTAACAAGAAAACCGATAGGACTGCTATGATTATTGCTTCCGCGGTCCAAGGGACTAATCCTATTTTCATGACAGTGTATTTAAGCCTTCGCAAGGCCTGTGGATCTAAATCAAGACCAGCTCGAATTAGGAGTATTACCAAGGCGACATTCCTAAAAAAGCAGAATAACAAATATATTTTCTTCCAATAGGGTCTAATTGAGTCCAATTTAAAAATATGCTCAATTGTGTATTACAATCTATGTATGTAGATCAGACGGACTGATTTCGGAGATAAAAAATAATATCAGCAAAGCATTCAATAAATTTAATCATAATAAACTTTTGTCTAAATTATTTGAAATTGGTATGTACGGAAATTTAGTAGGGTTGGTTACTTCTTCTCTACGTTTTTAATGGATCTGCTATGGTAACTGTTAGTGGTGAACCTTCCCCCCCTATGTTGTTATGTCAGATATACCTCAAACATCACATTTGGGATTTACAGGATGTGTGAACTTAAATAAAAAATTTAAAGGAGTGAAAAAGGAGCAAAAACTGAGTTAACTAATGTCACAAACTTGTATCGGAAGTTTAAGGTCATAGAGAAAAACGCTAATTAAAAATGTGTTTATAACTGTACTTACAAAAAATTCTGTAACACTTTTTACGAGTTTGTAGGTTTCTTATGAAGCCGGACTGTATTTGAAGGTCAGTTTGTAATACATTGTTTTAGTGATTGCTGTGCTGTTTTTCGAGAGTACATTTAATAGCCGTATTTCCAAGTTTTCTTTTGAAAATGGCGCATTTATTTGTCAATCGCGAATATTATGATATGCTCATAATTTATGGCGAAGCAAACGAAAATGCCCACAGAGATTGTCAAGTTGCTGTAGCGCAAAGAGTTTTGGACACCGGTGGAGTACAAGCGCGTCGAGGTCGCGACGGTGACTCAGGGCGACCACTAAGAATTTTAAATATCGAGGAGATGATTTTAGATCTCGTCGAAGAAATATCGCACAGCAAATAAATATTTCGCATCCTGTGTAGCGAACATTTCGAGAAGCTCAGTTGTACCCATTCCATATTCAACGTGTTCAAGCGCTTACTTCTGAGGATTTTCCACTACGTCGAGGTATTTGCGAATCGTTGCTTCAGGAACATGCAAGAAATCCTCAATTTACATCGCAAATACTTATTACAGATGAAGCATTTCAGTCGAAATGGTGTACGTAAGTAACGTCCACAACACTCACCACTGCACTATCGAAAATCCACACGAAATATGTCGCGGTGCCTTTTAGCAACAGTTTTCAGTGAACATGTGGGCCGGTATCGTTAATAGGACCTTTTGAATTGCTTAGACGGTGCTTCATATCTAGATTTTTGCAAAATCGCTTGCCGTGCCATTAAATGTTCGGCAAAATAGATGGTTACTGCATAACGGAGCTCCCGCTCACTTTTTTCGGAGAGTGCACGACTTTAAACATTACATTATCCAATCGCTGGATAGGCCGAGGCAGCCTAGTTAGTATTGCCGAAGCTTGTAATACCATTCGAGAGGACGTGGCAATGTCGAAGCGCGTGCGAGCGAATTGGATACGTCGCACTGAAGCTTGTGTGCAAGCAAATGGTGGATACATCGAACATCTATGAAAATCAGCAGTTTTGAAAAGGTAGCTCCTTGCAATGTTGAGGTAAGTCAGATTTTAAAATTACATTTTACTCAACACAAGTTCGTGTACGTATTTACCTCATTTTGATATAACGAACATGTGGCATATTATGTGGCACATATTTGAGAAGTTCAATAACACCCTGTATATTAATGTTATTCGCCATTGTTTCAAAATATGCAGATCCTTACATTACTTTTTTTTTGTCTGAAGAAAAAGGTTTTGCTTCTGTTTTGTTCGTTATCCCTCTTGTACTTTTTTTTATATTTGTAATTGTAGGTTAGTTCATTATATTTATTAGATTTTACTAATGTATTTTCTGTCCAAAGTTGAAATAATTACTTAATTTCAGAAGAAATTTATTTGACAATATGATCCAAATAACTTGCAATAGACCGTTATCTGTAAGAACTGTTCAATATGACCACTATTTTCTGTACTACACAAATTGCTTCTAGGTAAAAAAATAAATGCACTTTTCTCGATATTCCTTCATACTGCAAATTGTGAACCGTATTTTCAATCCTGTTCTACAATTGTCCCTCAGTGTCAATACTCACAGACCACACTTTATATTTGAGGCCTCCCCCTCCAAATAAAGAATAATAACAAGAGATTTAAATCAGGTGAACGTAGTGGACAGTGAATTGGAGCGTCGTGTCCCCTGCCCCTCCATCTGCCTGAATACTGATCATAAAATAACTGGTAGATCAAACAATTCTAGCAGAGTATTTTGCAAAAAATCTAAATAACTGTTGTATCAAGATGATTTGGTAATCTAATAGGACCAAGCAGAAAGTTATTGATAAAACCAATTCACACATTTATACTAAAATGCTGAAAATATCTTCCCATAGCGACATGGTAATTTTTATCTACGTGAACATATTGGTTGTGGAGATTTCTTACCCCACGTTTCATAAAAGACTATTCGTCCGTTAAAAGATTTTTTTGTTGAAGTCCATGTCCAGCTGTTTATTGGCGAATAATTTGCGAAAATTAAAGACAATCAAGAGATAGAAGTTGTTGAACTGGGTGAATATGAAAATGATGAATTTACTTTGTAGGAAATTACTTCGTTCATCGTACTTTTGGAAACTATAAGCTGCATTTATATAAATTTGACACTGGTTGCTGGATCCTCTTCTAACATTTCCAAAATTTCTTTTTCTGCAATAGGTGTTTGAATTTGACGAGGACGTCTGGTATTACTTTAATTTTAAACGGACTATCCAAGATGTCTTCCAACATTTGTGAGAGCTTGATGATTTGGGATAGAACGATTCAATTATATGTATTTCATGATACACGCATATATTATGGCTGTTTCCTTCACAAAACCCTAGAACTACCAACATATCAGTTTGTTCGTCGAAACTGTATCTATTAATTGTTCATCCGAGAATAGTTAAAATCAACGAAACTTGGAAAATAATGACAAAAAATATAAAATACAATAAAAAATTTCTTACTTTGCCTCACTAACAACAATGATCATATTCAAAAGTTCTTAAAATAGAACCGTCAATTACAAGGCTATTGCAATTATGTTATTTCGTATCTGTTATCAAATAAATTGCTTTTGAAATGGCTTAATTATTTCAAGTTTGAATCGAATATGCATTAGTAATTACTAATTAGCAAGCAAAAACTACTCAAAAAAGGGAAAAATTAACCCCCTCCAAATTATGAGCAGATTAATCCAGGGGGGGTACACTTCTGTTAAGTATCTGTGTACGAACTTTTGGTAAAATCTTACAAATTAAAAAAAACGTCGTCGACTTTGATGCTGTCATAAAGCGGATAAACGAAAAATAACTTAAGATAGACACTGTATACTCACAAATAAGTGAATTTGTCATTTGCCTTTCATTTAAGGAAGATTTACATTCGATTTTTTTAACGTTGCAAGAGAAATAAGTTTCAATTAAATGTAGATAAGTGTTTTTAAATTTGGTGACTTTTCTAATAAATACCATTTTGATAAGATTATCTTAAAACAAATCAAGAACATAATGATCTTGATGTTATCTTCTATAGAAAAAAGTGATCTTACTATATCGCTTATATAACATCAATGAGTAGCAAAATGCTTGAGTTTCCTTTGTACAAATTTCAATTCCATTATTAACCTCAAATTAAATGAACAAATAGCCAAAACTATCCTTAAATGGAATATGTAGAAATTATAATTTGCATTTTGGTTATCTAGCTGTTTAGACCTGTCGAAATATTCCACTTCTTGGATGTAAGAGGGGGAAGCTAATTTTTGTTGGAATACTTTCAGTACAACTCACATAATAAGTGTAGATCCCTAGATCTAGGCGAGGTGCGGGATATTTTCAAAATTGCAAAAATGTTTAAAAAATTTAAAAAAGTACCTATTTTATCTCAGTTTTTACTTATATTTTGGAACATATGTATTTTGGAAGAATATTAAAGAGGAAAAAAGTGTTAGAATTGAATTTTGCACAATATACTGTAAGTTAAAAATGTTTAAATTTATTACCGATGTGGCAAAATAGCAATAATTGATGAAAAAAGGGCAAAATAATCAAGTCTTTTGGATATTTTTTTTTAATATTTTAATTGCTCCGAGGGCATTCTAATTTTGGTAAAAAACGCTTTAGAGTATAATAAAACACCACACCAAATTTCACTAAAATCGGTTCTATTGAAAATTTTGAAAAAAAAATTTCAAATATTCAAAATGTTGCACAGCCTCAAATAAAGCATCTAGATACTTGAAAAATTTTTCGCATAGAAAAGATCGCTCAGCCTTTCAAATGGTTTTTGAAAAATTGAAATCGGTTGATTAGGTCGGTCACAATAAATTTTTAAAGTTAACACTCTTTTTTTATTTTTAAACAATTAGATTACATTTATCAATTTGCAATTTAGTTTTTTTCAGAACAAAGAAAATAATTAATATTGGTGACACAAAGTTTAATTTGTATTTTGAAACTTTTAATACAATCAGAGCAAATTTCTACTCTGTTCTGGGGCATACCTTAGTTCTTTGGTGATGTCTGAAAATGAATCGTCTATATCCACTACCCCCAAGTTCTGAAGTAAGACTCCAGTGAACAGCATTCCGATCAATGTTGGCAATGTCGTGAGCGATATTAGCCACCCTCCAAAGTGGGCACATATACTGAGACTTATCAACTGGAACAATTTCCCATTGGGTGGAGCTGCTGTCTCTCCCACAATTGAATATAAAATGCACCATGACAAGATTCCGATAAGACCAATGGCAATGATTCTAGTAAATTGTCGATATGTAGGGCAAAATGGGTGAGGACATAATTTTGGCCAGATGTGTGGCTGCCACGAAGGAAGACCCTCATCTTTTGAGCGGCATTTTAGACAAAATGTGTACCACCAAGACCTAAAAGCATATTTGTTATCGTTAAAGAAATAGATCTACCTAGAAGGTGTTAATGATATATTCTGTTAAACTTCAATGCTTCATTTTCGAGATGTTGAAATTTGAATTGACGTAATTTGAGCGAATGACTTAACTGACTAAAGGCAAAAAATTGAAGATGTGATGTCTAATAAATCTATCAATCAGTGGCAAGAATACAAGGAAGTGGTGTCATGAAGCACCCACTGCAAACATTATGGAAATTGGGTAAATGCATTTAATTTCAATTGGAAAATATGTCATTAATTTTATTTAAAATAAAAACACCAATTTCTCAGCTGGTATATTTTTTAATTTTTAATAAACTTACGACATACTTAAATAAATCCAAAATAACTCCAATGGCAAAAGGGAACTTAGATTTCTTTGTTAGAAATGCAAATTTAAATATATATATATATAATATAATTAGAAAAGAACAACTATATCAATGTCTATTAAGTCTATTAAAATGTTTTAACTTGCTACACCAATGCTGATGGTAACATACAGGTTCGGAAAGTCCCCATGGTCCATCGGCCGTTACGTGAGAGCGATAAAGTAAGTCATAGAAATCCGTGCGATAGACAAGGATGGTTACATTGAAGACGTTTCATAATCTGAATAGTCACTCCCACTTCTAACCCGAAACGAGCGGTGACTATTCCGATTATGAAACGTCTTTACTATAGCCATCCTTGTCTATCTCACGTATTTCTTTACTTTACTTTGTCGCTCTTATGTAAAGGCAGATGGACCATATGGATGTTCCAGCCCTGTTAATAAAATTGTACTTCTTCTTAATCGATTTATCCAACAATATCGCAGGTTTATTTAAATTAAAAATATTTTTTTCCAAAACATTTTCAACATTCGTTAGAAAAATTCCAAAATATTCAGAGGAATCAAAATGCTAATATGTTCCTAGTGAACGTGTCTCCCAGTATTCCCGCCAATAGCAGCAACGTTTTTTTAAACATAATTGGTTGTCATTAGTTCAAGTTACTTCAATCTACGTCAAGCATCTTAATTTTTATGTACCTATTCACATAAATATTTCTGGACACATATTTTTATGAACCTTTTTATTGATTTGTGAAGTAGAATCCAACATTAAAGTTCGTCAGAGTATATCATTAACACCCTGTATAATGTTTGGCAGTGAAAGCTTAAAATCCCTTGCACTACTAAATAAAAAATACTTATACCATAAAACAAAGCGGAAATATTCTAATAAATTATTTAATTTGTTTTTTCTTCTCCATTTGGAAAGAAATTGTATTAATTATATTTATCGTCAATTGTTTTGTTACGAGCAAAACTGTGCTTTTATGGAGCTATTTTAAGAAATTTTCTTTTCAACAGTGTATAGTGTAATATTAAAAATATGTCACATAAAGTGTCGCCCACAAAATTTTTTTTATTTTGGGACTCACGATCCTAATATTTTTTTAAATGCAATTATTGCACTAATCATGACGTACACCAGGAAAATTAGCGAAAATAAAAGAGAAACTCGAAAAAAGTCCTATCCGCTATATTATTGTAAAATTGTCTAAAGGAACATGATACAAGACATCTCTCGTCTCGTGAGTCAAAAACTTTTATTAGCTAACTTTTCTATTTAAACAAATAAGTGAGGAAAACAGTTTTTTCACTTTGCAGGGAAAACCATCAATTTTAGCGAAAAGTGACTCTCAGACAGCTTATAGCGAGTAAAATTATCTACAAAATGAGACTGGTTAAATTAAAATCGGTTAATAAACAAAAAAGTTATTGCAAAAAAACAAGAAAAGTGCCCATTTCTTCATTTGTTTATAACTATCGCATTTATTGTTAAAATTTTATAAAACCTATGACAAGTTGAGGGTTTTGT